CGGGGATGAGGTGATGTGTCTTGGGCAGATCCAAGGACACTCCCTAGCAATTACACTGAGCCATGGGTTCTGAAAGTATGCGCACTGAGCTGGGGCCTGCAGGCCTCCTACCTGGTGCAATCTCATCTTCGCTCAATTTGGTGACCATCACAGAGCTGAACACACACAGCCTGGGCCGTGGCAAGTTGACAGCTTCAGTTGGCATGAGCAGATGTTCAGGTGTGACGTAGAGGTGAGTGTCCATGGAGCCCTTTCTTTAACACTTGGCTGATGTGGAGGCAAGGAGGTCTGTAGAGGAGGGCGTGGCTTGTAAGCTCGTTTTAGACTGTAAAAGATGGGCACTGAGAACTGGCTGGCCAGCTCTCACCTCTTCCTGTTCTTTCCCCTGCTGGCTTCCATCTGTTTGCTGTGCAAGTTAAAACAAATAGAGGAGCAATCCCTTAGCTTTTCCCAGAGAAAGCTAGAGATACGTTAAACGCAGTGGAGAAGGACGGAGTTGAATAATGCAGGCAAAAATCTGGTCACAAGCTGTCCCACAGTTGAGCCAGGGGCTGCCCTGCTTCATAGTGGGAACGGTTCTCAGCAGCATAAGTTCGAACCTCCCATCTACCACTATCCAGAATTAGGACTTTCCGAGCCCTGGTGCTCATATCTGTGGTTCTGTAAGGTTCCTTCCTGTCCAAGGACTCTGGGAATTCTAAGATGTGTGGCGTCATCTCTTTTCTTCTTTGGACTAAAGGAGCTCCTGAGGAGGATACTGTCTGTGTAGCTTCTCAGGGGTTATTGCTGGTTCCTTCATACAATCTGTAGTGGCTTGAATGATGGTTCCCCCATACTCTAAGGCATTTGAATACCATGTTCCCAGTTGGTGGTGCTGTCTGGGAGACTTCGGGTGTTGCCTTGTCGGAGGGGGTGTGTCACTGTAAGCTTTCAGAGTTTAAAGACCATTTCAAGTTCGTTCTCTTGGCTTCCTTCTTGTGACCCAACGGCCATGCCTGTCACTTACTGCCACGTTTCCTGAACTTGATGGAATCTTACTTCTCTGGAAGCATAAGCCCAAAAAAATCCTTCTTCTGTACACTGTCTTGGTTATGTAACACAGCAATAGAAAAAGCGGCGGATATACAGGCCCGTGACCATCAAATCTAAGAAGCTCACAGATCTCTTATCCCCCACAGCTTTTGGTTATCCAAAATTGTCAGATTTCATTATCATCTTAACATCCACAGGGACACATATGGTAAATGTCCCCGCCAGAGGGAAGTGTGGGTTGGTAATAGTGCTTTTTGTTTGTGTGGTGGATCTTTGGCTAACTGAATCTGGGTTCTTTGTGACCATCCATGGCTGTTATTAAACAGAAGAACATAAAACGAAGTAATAGGCCAGCAGGCACAGGGTCTGTTGGTCTGTTTTTCACTGTTACAATGAAATGCTCCAGGCTGGTTAATTTGTAATGAAAAGACATCCATTTAGCTTAGCCTGGGAGGTCCAAGAGCTTGGTTCCAGCATCTACTGGCTTTGTTGAGGTCTTTTTTGGCACATAGCATCACAGTGGGAGTCAATCTGAGAGGGAGAGATTGCATGGTGAGATGGGGAGTCATAGGGAATGAGGGCCCAGGACTTCTGTTTCCTAGCATTCACTCTTATAGGAACTGATTCAGAAGGCCAGCCAGCATTGGTGTTTCCCAAGGGTAAGACCTGCCCATCCCCCATGACTTAAGTACTTCCCATGAGGGCCCATCTCTCTCCCCCCTTCCATTTCTTTCATTCTTTCTTTCTTTCTTTTTTTTTTTTTGTTTCTTTCCTGTTTGGAAAGGTTGTCCACCCCGTCCACCCTCCAGCCAGCTTTGCTGCATTGGAGACCAAGCTTCCAGCTCTCAGACCCTTGGAGAACAAGCTGCATCTAAACACACAACACAGGGTTCATCTGAGCTGCCAGTGATTGCCTCGTCTCCCATAAACCCTTTCTGCTGCCAGGGATCTAAACTCCATCTGGAGTGGCGCTGATGCTTGGTCGATGCTCATCTAGGGCCGCCGCCTCTGACCCACCCTTGCTCCTGGTTCCTGCACTTCCTGTCGCTATTCTCCCACATTTTCTCAGACTGACTGACTGAGACAGAGGCATAGCACTTATTTGGACCTGGTGAGGGACAATCCTAGCTGTGGTATGACTCAGTCTGCCCCATTGCCTCCCAGCCCAGATTTAAGTTGAGAGTACCCATTTAGTAACCACTCAGTTTTTTAACATGTGTGGACCACCGTTATTTATTAATGAGACTGATGGTCCCCCAGACTGGCCAGAGTGCCAGTCTGTACACTGCTTTGCCCTTTTCTCCATGTCGCGCTTGGGTTCTTCCTTTGAGAAACATTCTTCAGGCTCCTAAGCCTGCCTGTCCCGGACTGTTGTCATTGTCTTCCCTTGGTTACTCCCATCATTTAATTATTGTTTATGGAAATACCTGTAGTGTTTTAGAGCCATTGAAATTCCGATTGAAGAACCTGCCTGTGTGATCCGGAAATACTCCACTGGAGTACAGGGTCAGCTTTGGAATCCATCTCAAACACTTTTCCATTGGGAATTGATACTCCTGGGTCTTGGCAGTTGCCCTGCTCTGTCACTCAGCCCAGGGCAAAGAGTTGCCCACTTCAGTCTCCTTACATCCCCGCTTTGAAAGGACAAAGTAATTGGAGAGGGGGCATTGGAGCTGTGGGCCCCACTGGCTGATTTACACAATGCAGAGTGAAAGACTGTTTTCAGGAAGCCAGGCTGATTAGGGCATAAGGACTCTTGCCTGCTCTTGCGCTATGGGGCCTTGCTGAGTGAGTGGGTGTGCTAGCAATCTATTTAGTCACCCCATTATAAAATAGACTTCCAAGCAGGCCCTTTATTTTATTTTTTTATGTATCAGCTGTAAAGATCTAGTTTTTCATTGTGACCCCAACCTCCAGAGCAGCTAACTAATTGGCTTGCTGAATTTCTCAGAGTTCAAGGCCAGCTGAGGTAGGTGGCTGAGGACTCTCAGCTCCTTCAGTATGGTCTTGGTAGAATCTCAATAGCTGGTTTGCCAATTAGCTAATTAAGTCAGATAAACGATAAGCTCTTTGAAGTGTTCCCTGTGCCTTTTTTATTTCTTGAACATTTTGGATCATTAGACTGCATTTGGGGTTGTTGAAGGTTTGTTCCCCCGAGCCTCCCTGCAGTGCACTGGCGTGACGAGGGATCGGGCCAGCATCGGTGGAACCCTGTGGGCCTTTCGCACTGCAGAGCCCCTGGCTGGACCCGAGTACTCCCGAGTCCCTTCTGCGCGTGATGCATGTCCGCTTCTCTCTCCCTCTCTATTCCCAAGGATGTTAACACGGGAGAGGGCAGCGAACTCGCAGACAGTGGGATCGAAGGGGCCACCACCGACACGGACCTCCTGTCCAGGCGATCTAATGCCACCAACTCCAGCTACTCGCCTCCCACCGGCCGAGCCTTTGTGGGCAGCGACAGCGGCAGCAGTTCGACGGGGGATGCTGCACGCCAGGGGGTGTACGAGAACTTCAGGCGGGAACTGGAGATGAGCACCACCAACAGCGAGAGCCTGGAGGAGGCCGGCTCTGCGCACAGCGATGAACAGAGTAGCGGTACCCTCAGCTCCCCAGGCCAGTCTGACATCCTGTTGACGGCCGCGCAGGGCACCGTGCGCAAGGCTGGCGCGTTGGCAGTCAAGAACTTCCTGGTACACAAGAAGAATAAGAAGGTGGAGTCTGCTACCCGCAGGAAGTGGAAGCACTACTGGGTGTCCCTGAAAGGTAAGGGCCGCCGGCCCAGCTGCATGCTGGGAGTGCCAGTGGGTGCATTTCACGGGTACTCAGGGGTATGCAATATTTCATAATTGTATATCTAAAACTTAGTCTATTGTGGTAGAAACACAACATTAGATGTACTGTGAAGATAAAGGCCATCACTGAAGAACTGAAAGATCTGGTTTGAGATTCGATTTTCTTTTTCTGTCTCTGTATTCAACACTAGGAATTAGACCCAGGGGCTCGTTACACTAGCACCCTAGCTCTGTGTTACATTCCCATAGCTCTTTGTATTTTTATATTTGTTTTAAGGAACCAGGTTGCCCAGGTCATACTTGACCTGGTAATCATCCTGCCCCAGCCTCAGGGGTAACTGGAATTATAGGTACCTGCTACCACACCTGGCTACGTATCACATTTTAAAATATGTGCTATGGTATTGTTGACTGTGTGTGCAACATTGTAGGCAGGTCTCTATAAATTATTCATCTGAGGAGCTGAGTGTTAGGTCTCATATTCAGTAACTCTTGCCATGCCCCCACCCCTGCAAACATCATTGCAGTGGTTTCTGTGCTCCATGGCTGTCTTGGTTTCATTTCTGTTGCTGTGATAAAATACCCCAACCAAGAGCACCACAGTGGAAGGGAGACTTTATTTGGCTTACAGTTCCAAGTTACAATCTATCATTTTGGGAAAATCAAGACAGGAACCCAAGCAACTAGTCCACAGTGTAAAGCAGAGGAATGAATGCGTCCCATCTTGCCTATTTTTGCTTGGTCTCAGCTAGCTTTCTCCATCCTCATGACCCTCTTGCCTAGGGAAGAGTGCTGCCCACAGTGGGCTGGGTCTTTCTCCATCAGTTAGCAGTCAAGACAGTCTCCCACAGACATGCCCAAATATAGACCAACCTGATAAAGACAGCTACTCAGTTGAGACTCTGCCCAGGTGATTGCAAGTTGGCATTTTAAAAGCCACCAGCACAAGTGAGGTAAAGTGTCAGATCCAATGTTCTCACAGTCTGCTGGTTCCACTGGGCAGCTTTGAAATGAGTTCCCCTCTAAAATTTCCTTTTGGGTCATTCAAGTTTCTGTCTCATACAGCAACTGTTGTAGAGAGAGGAGTCCTTAGCTTTAGTCCAGTGAAATGGCTGATGGTTTGAGGACTCTTTAAGTGGCAGAAATGTCACAAATTTTACATGCTTCAACCTGATGCAGATGGGATGTCTACGTCATCATTTGTTTCTGAGTAAGTCACTATCTTATAGACAGCTGCGTATATTGGGGTGCTCTTGACTGTGCACACAGCAGACGTGTGGGCATCACTTTGCTCCCTTCTCAAAGAAGCTCAGTGCTTATGTGTTGTTATTTGTTTTGCCATTTGGCTTCCTTCCCTGAAGGGGGCTCTATGTCTGTGTCTGCCCATCCCTGCATGAATGGGCCTCGGTCCTGGATGAATGGGCCTCGGTCCTGGAGACTTTGCAGTTCATTGTGAGAACCATGTTACAGAAAGGAAAACATTGCTTAAGCACATTGAGAATTTTGTTACAAAGCTAGCTTTGAGATGGGGGTGGGGGTGGATGGGTCAGACAGGAAACACACGGGAGAGAGAAGCCAGGGCTGATCAGGTAATGGTGCAGAAACCAGATCATTTGACATTGGCTCTTGCCAGCTGAGGCCAGTGCAGCGACATCCTACAGGAGAGTCCTGGGTCTGCCCAGTGCTCTGCTCAGTGAGACTGGTGTCTGCCTGAGTAGTGAGCGTGTGCAGATTACCCCGAAAGACAATCAGGAGATGGGTGACTGCCATTACTGGTGGGCTAGCCGGCTTCTTTGTTTGTTTGTCTGTCTTTGTTTTGTTTTGATGCCTGCTGAGATAGGAAACTGTGTGTCTGGTTAGGCTATTCTGCTATGCACCAAACGCGCATAATGACAAGGACGACGACAAAGCTAGACAGAACTACCCCCTGAAGCGTGCATGGGTGTGTGTGGGGGTACCTCTTTCCTGTAGAGTCACCGGAGGCCCGGGTCATGTTGCTCAGTTTCGCTAGAATGTTTTTGTTGGTGCAGTGTGGGGCCATGCTTCTAAAACAAGGTGTTTATCCCATGGGCTCACTTTGGAGAGCCGTTACTCGCCTTTCTCACTCAACACCTGACGTAGCTTCATTTGCAGAAGTGCTGTGGGGTTGCACGTGGAAGCCACTGTCATGCCAGCTGTTCTGTTATCAGGGAATGAGTCGGAAAAGAAAGAAATTTCTCCTTTCTCCCTTCCCCCGTCCCCAGAGGTATACATCTCTTGTTCCTTTGGTACCCTTCCATTGGGTGACTGTTCCTGGGGAGACTTGACCCTGATAAGGAGTTGACAACAGACCAAAGTAAGGATTTCACCGAAGCCCAACTTGAAGCAATGAGTTTATTGGGGTTCTTTACCAGACTCTGGGGGAGGGGTTGCTTAAAGACAGCTAGATCACCAAAAGCCCACCCTGGAGCATGGATATCAGCTCCTGAAGGCCGGAACTCTGGTGCTGGCTACACAGCTTGTAGGGAGTTTAACAGGCAGGGGAGCGTCTCTCCCTGGTTGTTCAGTTGTCCTGGGCCCCTTCTGGTAGCACAGCCAGTCTCTGCTTCTTCAGGCAATTCAGCCTCTTCCATGAAACCCTGCTTGTCAGCAGTTTGCTATTTATGTGAGTTTGGGCAGGAAAGGGCCTAGCGCATCTGGTCAGTTTCAGGGACTTTCAGGAAGTTTGAATTGTTTACTTGATGACTTTTGAGAAGCTTCCTTGCAGGATGGCAGGTTTCATCTCCTCTCAAGAACACACCTGAGTCTTAGCAAGCTTCCCTGCAAGATGCTAATTATCCCCCCTTGGAGGAAGGTGCACAGCTCACACCTTCATACACGCTATTGATTGCTGCTGAGGACTTCAAAGCCTGGCATGAGGACTGCCTACATCCCAGTTGCCTGTAATGCCTGCCTACTGTGTTGTGCTTCTTGCTCCCTGGACCCTGAATCTTGTAGACAGTCCTTTGTTAGCATTCGTTGTCTGCCATAACAATGGGCCACATGCTAGGTGTCTCCCAGCTGCCAGTCTGAAGTAGAGGTGTTGTCTGGGTTGATTTCCTTTGGTGCCTGACCTGACATCTTGACATAGCTGAGGCTGTCTTCTTTGGGTCTCAGTACGTGTTCTCCTCCTATAATAGCTGTGTCCAATGTCCATCTGATAGGACACGAGTTAGATCAAGGGACACTCACATTAACTGCCTCTTTTAAAGGCCATATCTCCAAATATGACCCTATCTGAAGTATGGGGGTTACGACTCCGTGTGGAGATGTGGGAGGGATGATTTTACTTATGAGAAAGCCCCAGATTTGTGGCTTAACAAAGCATCCTAGACTCTTCTTACACCACATTTGAGAATAGCATTTCTTGGCATAAAATAAAAACAATGAAGTGACTCATTTTAGTTGGGACACAGCAGAGGTGGCTGTTTTGTTTGTGCCTTTTTCTTAAAGAATAAGTAGGAAGCCATAGGAACACATAGGAAGCCATAGTGTGGGCATCGAGGAACCCATGAGATGAGGGAGTCATCACATTGTCCCAGTGACCCAGATCTGGGTGACACAGCTTGACAGGAGAAACCAAGCCTTTCACAAAGGTTCCTGTCTTCTGTTGACAACCTCTGAGCTGCTGGCATTTTCTTAGTAGCCCTTCGCAGCTGGGTTAGGAGAGAACCTGGGGACTCTGGGGTAGAAGTAAGGATCCCTTTTCAAAGACTTGTAGAATTAGTCTCTGGAGTGATGCCACTCACAGAATCACTCAAAGGCCAAGTTCAAGTGAAGATTAGGACAGACAGACTTTTATCAGAGTGTGCGGTTCTTGGATTTGTTTCTTCATGTTAGTCTTAAAAATGGAATAAGTTGAAAATGAATAAAAGTCCAATTTCAACCACCTACTGTTATGGATAATTCTAAATCATAGTTGAGAGACCATAAAAGTATGTTTGAAAGTCGGTACTGTGTCCATTCTATGATATACACATATCAGGATTTGTTTTCTGTTCCTAACCAGGTGGGAACATGTGCTGCTCTTTGGTGTTAAAAAGTCTACAGACGGTTTGTTTTGCAATAGTCATAGAGATGTTGCCTTTCCATTTTTATTCTAATGTGTGAGCCACTTTAGTACATGAAATGAGAGATACCAGTGGTCTCCCTCTTGGGATTTTCCTAGAAACCTTGAAGTCTTCAGAGTCCCAGGGATTATGAAAAGAATAGAATTAAGACAGGAGAGTTGATAGCATATATTTCAATTTATGTATGTATGTTTTAGATAATATGTGAATGGTTTATTTACAGTTAACGATAGAGTCCTATCAAAATTGGCATTTTCAAATAATATTTAATGGTAGCAAATGCTTAGGGAGTTAAGTATAAAGAAGTCTTTATAATTATATATGGTGTTATCTTTTTTAAGACTATGGTGTATTTTTTTTGGGCACAGTGCTAGTGTGGCAGTCAGAGGACCACGTTATGGAATTGTTTCTCTTCTATGTGTTCTGGGGATTGTGTGTGTGTGTGTGTGTGTGTGTGTGTGTGTGTGTGTGTTTAAAGATTTAGCCCTCTGAGCCATATTTCTGGCCTCTTTGGAAAGTTGTGTGTGCATGCATGGTCTCTGTGTGTGCATGCGTGTGTGCTTGGTGTGTTTGTTGAGTATCCAAATTGGCTTCAGTTGAGATGGTGCTATCAGCAGCTATTGCATGGGGGTGTGGAGAGGTCCAGGGAGGGGGAGTTGCCTTTTAACCAGGGTGCCTTTCCCAGTGTGCCAGTGGACATCTCCTTTCCATTGGCCGGCTTCTTTCTACATCACATGTAGTCAGTTTTCCTGTATAGATTTCTGTTGTAACCAAGAGCATTGTGCATTTCGAGGGCTTTGCAATCCCTGTGAGGTTTGGTTTTTGCTTGGAGTAAGGAGATGGTTGAAATGGACTGAATAGCTTGTGTTGAAGTTGCCGACGAGTTGTGCTGTGGTTGTCCAGCTGTGGACTGGGTGTGAATATGCATCAAGCTAGGACGTGTTATTTTAGTGAGCTTCTAATTCCGGCAATGAAAGAGCTGCTTTACAATCTTACCAAGTGTTTCTGTAGCTACTGTCTCATTGTTTCATGGTCCAGTTAAAGATGGGCCAAGGTTCAGGCTTCCCTAAAACCTTCCCGTGAGCCCCACACGCTCCCTGTTTCAGAAAGCACAAGGGAATAGTTTTTTTTCTAGGAAAAAAAATATAGATTGCATCTGAGGCCAAAAATACACCTTTTCTGGAAAACCCTAAATCCAGCACTACTGTTTTCTCCAGGGGCCCAGATCCACAGTCCAGTTTCCAGAATTCCTGGCTGCACACCACAGGAGGATGCTTGGGAGGAAGCTCCAAAGAAGTGCCTGTCTTTACCTCCTGGTAGCGCTACCCTGGGGGAAGTCACCACTGGCCTTGCGTGCCCCAAAAGTCTGTGTTGTTTGAGGGCAAAGACAGGGTCCCTGGCTGGCTTGGAAGTACTCTCTTTGTGGACTAGACTAGCCTCAAACTGACAGAGATCCACCTGCCCCTGCCTCCCAAGTGCTGAGATTATAGGTGTATTGTAGCAGGCTTTCTCAAACCACCATATGATGACATGGGGACTTATTAATTATGAATGCTCAGTTTTAGCTTATGTCCATTTCTAGCTATTTCTTATAACTTAATTTAACCTGTTTCTCTTCATCTACATTTTGCCTTGTTTTTTTTTTTTTTTTTTTCTTTCCTTCCTTCTGTATGTCCTACTTTCCTGCTTCCTCCGTGTCTGTCTGTCTGACAGCTACCTGGCTGGCTGGTGTCTCCCTCCTTCTCTCTTGGGACCTTCAACTTTTTATTTAACCAATCAGGTGCCTTAGGCAGGCGAGGTGAAACAGCAACACATCTTTACATAGTTAAACAGGTACTCTATTCCACAACAGTGTCTGCCAGCACACCCACCCATGAGGACGCGTACAACCAGACATACTGACACTGAGAGCAGAACTCGAAGGATCTCTTTGCCAGTTTGGAAGCTGTAACTCAAATTCTTTATTTTTCCACAGACCTGTCAAAGACCTGATTGCAAGCAACAGCCTGTTTTCTTTGCTTCTTGGGTTCCCACATACTTTACTGGTCAGCCCTGTCCTGATGACTAGCGCCTGTTTCCCTTAGGGGTCTGTCATTGGCCAAGCACTAAATACTGACACAGGCCCGTTCTGTTTCCTCAGGTTGCACACTCTTTTTCTACGAGAGTGACGGCAGATCTGGGATAGACCACAACAGTGTCCCCAAGCACGCTGTCTGGGTGGAGAACAGCATCGTGCAGGCTGTGCCTGAGCATCCCAAGAAGGACTTCGTTTTCTGCCTCAGCAACTCCCTGGGTGATGCCTTCCTCTTTCAGGTTTGTGGGATACTTTCAGCACACAGGGAGCCTTCCTGTCTTGCCTAAGTACCCTGCCCTCCCCTTCTAAAATAATGGTGAGATTTTTCATGATAGAGACAAAAGCGATAAGTGACAGAATAAAATACCTGCAGTGAATTGCAGAAATGAGAGACCCCACGCAGAGTTTGTATGCGAGGCCCAAGGACAATTGCGTTTTGGGTCTGAGAAACTTGTCGTGTTTAGTGTGAACCACTGGGTTTCTCGGAGTGGCTTCAGTAGCAATGTACAACACTCAGAATTAAGATCATGAGTTTCTTAATTTAGGTGTGATTTGAGCTGTCAAAATTTTTATCATAATATGTTCTCTGCTAATATTAATTGTAAGGTGAAGTAATTACAGCCCAGAAAAGACTGGTTGTCCCTTAAATAGTTTCTCTTTTTCAGCTTACCAGAACTTTTTTTTTTTATCAAGCATTCTTGAAGCCTGACTATTAATTGTTCCCCCCAAATGCTTCTCGGCTTCTAGGTGAACATCTCCTTTTTTAGCGAGTCCTTTGGATTTACAAGAACTTCCTGTGCTTTTAGTGAGGAAGGCTCCCCTCATTTATTCCATCAGTGTGATGGAGGCCTTAGAGAAAGCTGAATGCACAAGATGCAAATGTGACATCCAGTGATAAATATGGAGACTTAGGAGTTTTAGGCACTCCACAGCTACCTGACACCGCACATACACATCAGCATGCTTGTCAAGTAGGCGGGATCTGCCTTTTAGCATTCAAGCCAACACACTTACTTATCTGAGAGCCGCTTGATTTATCATTCATTCATTCATTCATTCATTCATTCTTTCGTTTAAGAGGAAGGTTTGCAGGTTGGTGAAGGGGACTCTTGTGGACATGAGTAGCGACAACTCAGTTTTGCATTTACTTCTTTGTGTGTGGGAAGAATGGTGCGGAGGTCAGAGGACAACCTTCAGAAGCCCCTTCTCTCCTCCCACCATGTGGGTGCTGGGGATCAAACTCAGTTCTTCAGGCTTGGTGGCAAGAGCCTTTACTTCCAAAGCCACCTTACCAGTCCCTTTGTTGGTGAGGGATAGTTTTTCTGGGTATAATATTCTTGCTTGGCAGCCTTATTCCATGCATGGGGAATGCTACCCCACTGCTTCCATAGCTTCAAAGAGAAGCCCACTGTCATTCTTATAACTGTGATGAATTACTTCTTTTGTTTCTATGTAGCTTATAATGTGATTTAGTAACAGTTATTGGATTTATGCTGCCTGAAGTGCATTGTGTTTCTTGTGTGTATAGGTGTGTGTATGTGTGAGAGAGCTTTATCCTGATACACAGGCAGCAGAGAGAGCTGGGCCTGGCTTGTGCTTTTGAAGCCTCAAAGCCTACCCCCCAGTGACACACCTCCTAATCCTTTCTAGTCAGTTTGTTAACCCGGGTCTAAACTTGAAGGTATGAGCCTGCTGGGGCATTCTCCTTCAAACCACCCTAAGAAGCAAGCACTCTTAACCTCTATATGAGATTCTTTAAAAAAGAAAATTGGTTTCTTGATGAGTGCTCCCTGTTTATATTACAATAGAGCAAAATGAGAGGATCCCCTTTAAAAGGCATTGTTAAGTAGGAAACAAGGAAGTATTTTCTGAATCAGTAGTCAAGGATCTAGGGATGAGTCTCAGTTGGTAGATTGTTTGCATAGTGTGCAAGCAGTCCCGATTCTGTCTCCTGCACCACCACCCGCACTTACAAGAAAAGTGGCATGGCACAGCAGTCGGACTGTAATATTACTCTCATACTTGCTTCTTTGGAAATGGTGTCCTTTATTTTATGTGTGTCCAGCACGGCTGATTTAAACTCTGTCTTAGAGGGCTTCACAGTCTGGTAGATTATGTTTTCATTTATTGATTGAGTATTCACTGCACTTGTAAAGCTGATGCTTACACAGGCAGGAGTGGCTGCCAGGTTCACAGTCAGTGAGTAGCGGGGCTGAGCTTACCCAGTGGCCGTCAGGTTCACAGTCACTAAGTAGCAGGGCTGAGCTAACCCAGCAGCCACCAGATTTGCAGTCACTAAGTAGCAGGGCTGAGCTAATCCAAGCCCCTCTTTCGCCACACCCTCCTGTTGTGTGAAAGTATGACACTTGCTTCACTGGTGTGAGCGCTGATCCTAAGAAGGGTGTGGGCCAGAGCAGTGGTGACAGTAAAGTGACCATCCTTTTCTGGCCTTAGCAGTGAAGCCGCTCCTTGGGAACTTCTGTCATCAGTTGCCTGGGTCGGGCCCTTCTTGCCTCCCCACACACGTCGTTGCTAATCTGATTGACAGGAAGGGGGGCCTGCTGTTGTTTTCCGTACACACCTCTGGTACGAATTCCTGTTGAAAGGACTTAGGCGGCCATAAAATTGCTAGTGGAATCTACTCAGTAAGTCATTCTATAAAATGCCTTTTGTAGCGAAGTAAGACCGTATTCATGGAAACCTCTGTCTTCTTGTTATAGGGAATTTTTATGCTACTTATGTGGGATAAAGGACAAAATGAACCTTTTCAGAGGAAATTACTGTTGTTTGGGATCCATGAAGGCATTTTCTGCCATCTACTTATTGTAATCCACATAACTCCAGAGGGGCCGAATTTGAAAGAAACCTGTGTGTGCAGGGGTGAGGTTAAAGCGAGGGAGATCAGCCGTGATTATGGAAATAATTTGGAGGTTATTTCAGCCCCAGGGCTCAATCAGTGCACACTGTTTTCAGAGCTTGTATGCTGCTGATTCCTCCCTGTTGCCCAGATACCCGCACATTCGCCCTGGAAAAGAGATTCAAGTTACCCACAGAAATAGAAAAGGGGTTTTGTGTGCAGAGTGGGGGCGGGAGTGAGGGAGAATGTTGGAGCAGCTGATATAGAAGAAGTTTTATACTGTCTGCGGAGTGTGGCTGTAGCTCCTGCCTCAAACTGTTTTAATTAGAGCTCTTTCCTCTGACCCGGTGTCAGAGACAGCCCCAGCTACTAACAAAGTTCAGAGCCCTCCCTGGCTGTCACTTATCCATCCCTACAAGATGCCACAGCTCCACACAACTCAGCCACTCGAAGGAAACATCCCAACGTGTGTTTCAAATTCCTGTCCCAAATGCCTAGAGAGCAGAGCTACCAGGCAGGACGAGATAGACGCTTGGTTGAGCAGAAAGTCATGTGGTATGTAAAGGGGTGAAAGAAGACTGATGTTGGCAGAAGGCTGCCTTTTCTTGCTCTGCTTTCTCTCCTTTTGGAGATCATTTCACTCGGCCACTTTGTTTTCGTTTGTGTGCATTAGAAGGGGGACTTGGAAAAACTGCATCTGCACCATTCCCTTGGGCCACAGATTAAACGGTTGACTATCCTGGTCCGACAGACAGTGAATTCTCAGCCTCCATCGTCAACATTTGGATTCTAGTTAGAACCAGAAAGAGGGGAGCTTTCTGTGCCTTTCCTAACCATTGTATTCTAGAAATAGAACATGGCTTCACTTTGATTAGGGAGAGGCTTTGAGTTTCACCAGTCTCTGGGGAATCCTACTTCCAGGTGTCAGACTTTAGGAAGGTCACGAAGGTCACAGACAGATACCCAGGACTAGAGTAGCAGGTTGGAAGAAATGCATAGAGTAGACTCTATAGAAAAGAATGTAGAGGGGATTTAGCATCCTGGGATTTGCACTCACTGATGGATGGCAGCTTCTCTTCCTGGGGCATCAAGTCTGAAAGGGCCTGCCCGCTGCTGGTCAGCCTCCCTGCTGACCACCACTCACTTCCATGATTAGGGAGCTCCCAGCTTTTCACCCATTGGCTATGTTAGGTGGTGAACTCCTTGTTACACTGTTAGCTCTTGCTATTTTCCTGTTTGGGCATTATTCAGAGTCTGACCCAGGTCTTCCTCTTCGGACTATCTGTCCAAGGCTCGAGCCATTCCAAATGCCCTGCTATCTGTAGATTTGAACTGGTGTGGTTCTCGTGTGGTCAGCCCTGTGCACCCTGAATTGAGGTTTTTGATGCACCCGTTTCCCCTCCTACAACGTTGTGCCTTTAAATCACACGCTCAACTCATTCTGAGTTTGTGATGCCATAACATCCCCACCCCCAGCACCAACTCTTATGCCATAAAGACTTCCCCATTGTTTTGGTAGACTTTCCCCCAAACCCTAACACAGAACCTTAGTTCCTTTTAAACATTGCCTTTGTGGTTTTGCCCTTGAAGCGAGTTTGTTGATCCTATGATGGATCCTTATGCCCCTCCTTGATGCTATAGGTAGGACAAGCTACGTCTCAGTCTTTCTTTTCTGTGGTAATTCGTGCATTGACATGTTCTGCAATGAAATCCTCTTTTCCCAACCTGGTGGACCGTATCTCTGCTCTTAGGCTGCACCACAGAGAGTTTGTGGTGGTGACATAGTCAACTTCAGCTCCTGCTAGGAAGGGAAAGGAAGCGTGGCTGTGCACAGAAAGGGGGTGAGCACAGGGGTGTGTACCCCAGTTATCTGACAACCTGCTCTTGTGTTATCGAATCTAGTTCCAGGAGAGCAGGGACTAATTTATACAGCAAGGAGAGCGTTAATGAGTTCAGGAGGCCTCTGCCTCTGACCCCAGTGCCTCCACTAGACACAGATACTCAGGAGGCCAGAAAAAGACCCAACTCACGCTACTTACGAAGGAGAAGGGGGAGGTTATTTAAGTCTACCACAAGCTAGTTTCAGTGGCTTGGACTTCTGACATGGGCAGCACGCCTCCTTCCCTGTCTCCTGTGTTTTCACCTCCTTGGCCCCCTTCTCTGTAACGGGCACTGTTACTGGTTTCCAGTTTCTGGTCCTCTGGCTTTTCTGAGGATGCTCTAGGTTTAAGGGAAACTTCAGAGTACCTGTTCTTGTTTCTCCGCTCTCTGGCTTTCCCGCTAGAGGCTGGCATCCCATACCTGGTGATCACTCTCTGTTCATACTCAAGCATGAGACACTCAACCTGCCTGTCCGTCTTCTGGGGAGGGACCTCAGTGGACAGTTTTCGTAGGCGTTTTCTCAGGGGTCTTCTCAACGTTGCCAGCGGTGTGTCCTGTGCTTCTCGTTCAGGGGGCTGGCATCCATGCACTTCCTTGTTTTCAGCCAGCCGCTCTTGCTTCTCTGGTGCTAGCTTCCTGGACTCAACTCCCTCCTTCTATAAAAATGACCTCCAACGGGGGACAGGAAGAGAGTGGGTATGTGTGTGCACAGTTGTCTGACCTCCAGTGGGGGAGGAGAGTTACGTTCCCATTACTGGTATTAAACATATACCCTTAGTAGGGCTTGTATTAATAAAACTCTTAGATATGATGGACAGCCAAGAGGAAAAGGACTCCTCATCGTCTAGCCTCGTAAGAGATGGGCACTTTCATTCCTTCCTTTTTCCTTCTCTTATAATTAAAAATAGAAGCTTAACACTTTGTAGAATTATTCTTGTTCTTCTCTCAAAGCAACCTATCCCAAATTTTAGTTCCTCAGACCTTGCGTTTGTTCTCCAGGACTTCTCCAGTTTAAAACGAGCCTCCCTTTCCTGCCACTCACGTAAACCATTGGTTATCCGAAATCATCGAGGGTCCTCCATGCGCTGGGCAAGTGAAGCTAGGTCTATTATAATACATGATGAAGGCCCAAGCTTCATCACATCTCTGCACACAGAGGGGCTCTTATGCAAATATGGTTTTTTTTTGTTTGTTTGTTTGTTTTTTGGCTGATTATCTTTTGGCAAGAACTTCTCTTTTTTTGCCCCCTCATGGAACTTCATATATTGTTTGTGGCATCCCCAGAAGGCCTAGGAAGAATCACAAACCTGCCTTTCTACCTGTCCACTTCCATTTGTGTGATGGAGGGAGATGACTGGTGACGGTGGACCAGGGTGTGTGAGTGGGTGTGGGTAGTCTCTCTCTTCTGCCTTTGTGACCACTGGGCTCTGGCCATGAACATGCTCTTAGTCTCTGTCCCTGACTACATTTGCCTGCTGTAAGGAGGTGATACAAGGGTAATGGGTTGAGCAGCCTTTCTGAGTGTCAGAATTGAGTCCGCAGAGAGGCCCTTCCAGCACCCTGCTGCATTAAGTTAGCAGTGTGCTGAGGTCACGTCAGAACTCTGGAGCCTGAGAACTGATGGAATGTTCAAGACATTCCTCCACAGAAGTAGCTGCTGAGAGCAGTTAGCACACAGGTTTCCCGGCCTCATGGGCATAGGGCACCCGCTTGCTCCTGCCAAAGGACCAACTTTGCTCCAAAGCTTATTTAGTGATTGTCCTACTCAGAAATGGATTTGGTTTAATGGCAGGGAATGACGGAGACTGCTGTTTTATTTAGACAGGACAGCGGGAGAAAAAAAAATCTCACTAATGGAAATTCCTTCCGCCACTGACAGGGTTTTAGCGTTAGATGGCTGAGACGTGCGTGCTTAGTGGTTAAAGGGGCTGGTGGCTAAATGTTTCATAAACCTGTCATCACGTGTTTCTGTGGAAGACTGACATCGTTTCCTCTTGGTTTGACTGCAATTTATTTATTTATCCATTTATTTATTTGTTTGTTTGTTTATGTATGTGCCAGTGCTTGCGTGTGTGTTGTAAGCCTAGGGACAGCCTTCCACTTTTTTGGAGACAGAGTCTTTCATCGGCCCAGAGCGCAGGTCCAGTGGAGAACAGATGCAATTAGGTATATGATAGAGCCTAGATCTTGAATTAGACAGGAGATCTAGAGGGTGCACACCATCAATATAGCAGGTAGCTACATACTGCCATTGAAGCAGCTCTATCACCACCTCTGAGAGGTCCAGGGTCAGACACTATGTCATCCTGGCAGTGGGCTTGGTGGCCTCATTGTTTGTGGGAGGAGCTTGAACTCATTTTTTTCTTTAAAGGAAACGGTATACAGTAAGTACCTTGAAAGGGAATACTTTGGAGTGGATATGAACATTGGTATACACTCACTTATACACACACAACTCCTTTCCAATTTTTACACACCGAGTTTACCTGGGGCTTCAGTGTTCTTACCTCATCTCCTCCTCCTACTCAGTCCACACAAATCAGTCCTGTCTGCTTGCCATTCGCTGCTACTTTCCATTGTGAGCATGTCTAGCCGATTGCAGTCTTTACCCACTGACAGTGTGTTTCCCTTATAAACACAACTGCTAGGTCTTCAAGGTTTGTAAGCTGGTTTTCTTGCATGGCAGCATTTTTAATATTGGATGCCACATCTTTGGATGAATACAAAGCTTAGGTTCAGATTGATTCCCTTCCCAATAGCTTCAATGGTCCTTAGACTAACCTTTCCATTCGTAACCACCAAGGAATAATATGCTGGGGTTGTGGAGAGTCTTGTTAAAAGAGTTTTGTGTGGGGTCCTGTTGAAAGGATTTTGTTTGTAAGACAGCCCACCAGTGAGGTATAGATAGAGATTAGTGTCATAGAGGAAAGAGTGATGACAGCAGCCACCTTACTGTTACTGAGAAATGACTGAACCAGTCATTTCTTCGGTTGAGCTGACACCTTTGCCTATACTGAATTCTTTGGGATTGTGGGAGAACCTAGAAAAGTCTAGCATCTCTGCATTTACAAATGTTTCCTGCTTGATCTCTTAGTTTAAAAAACAATGTTTTTATTAATTCTTTGAGAATTTTATGTAACCTATTTTGATTATATTTTTCCCTCCCCAAATTCCTCCCAGATCTTCCCACCTCCCTCCTCATCCATCCATCTCTCTCTCCCACCCTTCCTCTCTCTTTCTCCTCTCCCCCTCTCTCTATCTTGCTGCCTCTCATTTATTTATTTATTTTTTTAATTTATTTATCTGTTTATTTAGTTTTTTGAGACATGGTTTCTCTGCGTAAACTTGGCTGTCCTCTGTAGAACTTGCTCTGCAGGCCAGCTAGCCTCAAACTCAGAGATTTGCCTGTCTCTGCCTCCTGAGTGCTGGGATTAAAGGCATGAGCCACCGCCTCCTGCTTCTCTCCATCTTTTTACCCAGTTTGCATTGGAGACCGCTCCTTGGTATGGAACCTGCCTGCCGTGGAGCCTAACTGATAAACCAGGGGTCACACAAAGTAAACTAAATTGACTCAGCCTCTCCCAGCAGCAATCAAATGCCAATAGCTCTTCAGGTAGCCATGGGACTTGTGACCACCCCCTTCCTCCGAGCTGGGATTTGGTCTGGCTTGAGCTTGTACAGGTCTTGTGAATGTTTAATGATTTTGCATATAATGATAATTTTGCATGAGTTTTCACCCCCAAACTTTGCCACTTTTGCCTTTCAGAGCATCTTTGTCTTATATGACTCCCGTTTGGAGGTCACCTGTCCTTTGGTGTGTGTCACATAGCATCATCTTAGTGCTCTTCCTAAACACGCTGTTGGTAGTTTGTGGATAACTGCTGGGTTGTTGCTACTCATGGATGTTATTCCTGGACTTCCCCAAGGCAGGCAGTATTGATTCTGGTTGTCTTGAACTCTTCCCCAGCCCTCGTTTTGATACAGCTGCTTAAAACTGGACTAAGTTTCTTTAGCAGTATCATTTAAACAAGAGAATTTCTTAGGCACGTTGGGTAACATGCGACTTTGAGGGTATCACTTGAGGAGTTAGTGGTGGGTCTGGCCCTCTTTTATGGATTTCTAGAGTGGGTAAGTTGAGGTAGTGTGGTGTGTGTGTGTGTGTGTGTGGGGTGGTGGTGGTGTGGTGTGTGTGTGTGTGTGTGTGTGTGTGTGTGTGTGTGTGTGTGTGTGTGTGTGTACGTACCTGACATCTTGACCCAGAGACACTGCTTCCCTGAACACACGCTTAGTTTCTGTCATCTTCTAAGAAACGACTCTTTCCCCCGCCCTCCTCATGTAGACCACCAGTCAGACAGAACTGGAAAACTGGATCACCGCCATCCACTCTGCCTGCGCAGCTGCCGTCGCAAGACACCACCACAAGGAAGACACGCTCCGGCTTCTCAAGTCGGAAATCAAGAAGCTGGAGCAGAAGATCGACATGGATGAGAAGATGAAGAAGATGGGTGAGATGCAGCTGTCTTCCGTTACTGACTCGAAGAAGAAAAAGACCATTTTAGACCAGGTGACTGTGCCTTTGTGTCTGGAGCTGGCAAATTTGTTAGGTCTTTATTGTTTTGTTTTGTTTTTCCTGTCTCGGAATCTTGAAAGATCTTCCCTTACTGTGGCAGCAGCCTGTCATCCAGACTGCTAAGCTCTTTATTGTGACTGTCATTTCCTCGCCCTTTGTTCAGAGTTGATTGTTATGAGCTAAAGGGAACAATATGACATTGAATGGAAGGCAGAAATCAGAGACAGGAGCTCTCTGGCTTCCACCAATCCTTATGCTTCTAGGGGAAACTGTATTTGAAAATCTGCCATTCCATTTCTCACCTTATCTTGAAGGTAAGCCATGAGGAAGATTCATTCCTGATTCCTCAGTAAACTTAGAATCCTAAATTTTAAAAAAAGTGATGGGTGCTTTTAAAAGTCCATACAGCTGCCCCTCACTACCCATTGGGAAATGGTTTCAAGACCCCTGCAGAAACCCAAATCTGGGTATGCCCCAGTCCCTGACATAAAGCAGCGTAGTGTCTGTAAGCTACACACATCCTCTCATGCATTTTAATTCATCCCTAGATCATCTGCTTAATAGGTATTAATAGATATAAGCATTATATAAATAATTGTGTTGTAATGTTTTATAAATATTGACAAAGAAAAAGTTTGTACATGGTCACTATAGCTGCCAGGTACACACGGGGCCCCTTTGCTCTGTTCTTTATCTTATTGGTCACTGTAGTTTTTAAATTCAGGCAAATTCACATTAAAAACAAACAAACAAACATGTAATGGGAACAACGGTTTAGCAGCAGTCAATAGATTTGCAATGTGAGGTGGCCACTTTCTTCATCTATTTCTAAAGGGAACCCAACTCCCGCTAAGTGTTTGCCCCCCTCTGTCCCTGGAGCCTGTCTTGAAGGGTTTGTCCCATGGAGATGCCCCATCTGAAGGTAATTGCTTAGAGTATGACCCTTGTGCCCGCCTTCTTCCCTTGGCACAGCTCTCTGGGGTTTGATTGGCATTGGAGCTTACACAGCAGTACCGCTGCCTCTCTGGGGACCACTACTAATTCCAGTCCACGCATGCGGCACTTTTACCCATTTCTTCTCTGAGGGGATCTGAGCCACCTGCAGCTTCTCAGCTGTTTTAGACAGTGCCACCATGAACATGTGTCTCCACACTGATTTTAACCAAGATTAAAAGGGAGGCGTCACCAAGGACCCTCTCTCAGCTTTCACTTTGTCTTTTTTAAGGTTTGATTTTGTGTGTAGAGGTGTCACCTGATGTATGTCTGCCTATCCCGTGCATTCTTGGTGCCCGCAGAAGCCAGAAGAGGGCACCAGAACCACTAGAAATGAGGTTCTAGGCAGTCACGAGGTGCCGTGTGGGTGCTGGGAACAGAACCCAGGTCCTCTGTAAGAATGGCAAATGCTCTTAATTGCTGGACTGTCTCTAGTCCTATGAGCTTTCCCTTCATGCCAGTGCCTTCTTCTTGAATGTACTCGCTCTTCTTTGATCTTACTCAAATGTTACATCAGTAACTAGAGGATATTTTGTCACTTTGAGTGACAAGGACATGTGTGGACACTGGCCTTGGGTGGAACCCTGTACCGGAACCCCTGGATTCCACCATCGACATTTTACCACTTCTCTTAGTAAAAGTCCTCTCCTCATCCATGTGACAGCTCCTTAGTCACCACGAAGATCCCTACATTGTTAGTCCTTACGTCTTAGGTTTGTGGTCAGAATTGACATATCAAACATGTTTCCCCCACCCCCACAAAAATCCCTGTGAAATCTATGCTAGGAGAGCACTAATAACTAACAATGTACTCTATGTTTATGACGCTGATTTATGATTACTGATGTTTGCAAACAAAAAATCATGTGCCCTAGGAGACCTAGGGCCCCATTGTTTACCCTCAAGAATTGTAATTAGTACCTTTACAATAAACAGATCTGCAAGAGTCTTGCAGAAAAGGGTGGCTAACATTTGTTTTCACCTTTTCTGACCTTCCTCTCCCTGTGTTTTCACTACTTAGATCTTTGTTTGGGAGCAGAATCTCGAACAGTTCCAGATGGACCTGTTTCGTTTTCGCTGCTATTTAGCCAGCCTCCAGGGTGGGGAGCTGCCAAACCCCAAAAGGCTACTTGCTTTTGCAAGCCGGCCCACGAAAGTGGCAATGGGACGCCTTGGGATCTTTTCTGTCTCGTCTTTTCATGCCCTGGTGAGTAGAAGCAAATGATTTTTGGAAAAATATTCATCTTGGTGCTTAATCCTGAACAGGCCTTGACAGGGGTCTCTCAACTGTTTTCTTAGTTTGCTGCCCTGTACAGATTTCCAGACTGTCTTCACTTTGCAGTTCATGCAAAATTTTATTTGAACCTGTGTGGGAATGTAATTAAACCTCTTTATAGGGTTAAAACTACGGCGCAAGGAAAATGCAAAGGCACCATCTCCCCAACCCCTCTCTACCACCCCAGTCTACCCCCTCTCCATGGTGTTGGGAATTGAACCCAGGACCACACATGCCAGATAAACACTCTACTGTTGACCCAGATCCCGGCTTCATAAAGGTGTTGTTTTGAGATATGTCCACTGCAGTGTTTGTGGATAGATGTTATTTTTAGGCAGTTTTGGCATTTGCAACCATAACGTTAATAACTTCCTGTAAACGATAAATGGAGGGCTTTCCCTCACGTATATAGATCTAGTCCCTCTGCCCCTCACACCATACACTAAACGCAAGTCTTTGTGGGTTGGAGGTCTCACTGTCTATCGTAGTTTGAGGGGTGTAAATATATGATGTGTAGAGGAAGGCCAGGCTTCAGCGGCATGTAGCTGAACGTGCCCTAAGAAGGGAGTTTTTGTCCGACTCCTAAGCAGCAGAGTGTGTGGTGGGCTGCCTGTTCACAATCTGTAATTCTGAGTACTTGCTGAATTACCAGCAGCTTTATGTACTTTGGGCCCATTGCTGCCAAAGGGGGGAAAAATCAGTGTCCAACTAATATGTTTTAGCTCATCCAGGTCGATACCCTCAGAACTGTAGCACCCCTGAAACACATTTGCCGTGGGATTAGATGTCAAGTGTCAGGGTCCTGAGCTGAGCTGCCATGAAAAGTCTTAGCTAAGTGTTGCCTATGCCTGCCACTGTGCTCTGCGTTATAATTCAGTCTGGGGTATTTGTGTTCTTTGTAAATAGATTAGCATCATCATTCAGATAATTAGGGGAGATTTGCATTTTGAAAGAGGTCTTCCTCCAGTTTCTAGAGTTGGTTAAAACTGTCTTGTTCTGCTCATTTCAGCTCTGCTCCTGGCCTGCTTGCCTGACTATGGCTGTTACATTTTTATTTTTCCCTGGAATTCATAGCTGGGCTAGTGAGAGCTAAGTTATGAACCCAGCTTTTTATTTATGGCATGATCTAGGTCTGTTACTTTGAGACCTGGTTTTTAACTTAGCCAGATCTCTATTCTGTGTGTGTGTGTGGGGGGGGGGAATGAGATAAACGAATTCACTTCACTCCTGTCAGTATCCTCGTCAAGAGTGTTTAGTTATTTATTTCTATTAGTGGGCAAGCTCATCTCAGGGAGACACCGCCTGTCAGTCTCTAGCATCTGCATCCCTTTCCCCTTTGCTGTCACATGACAAAACTTGAGGAAACCCAGTTTGCCTTCTACCTCAAACTTGTATGTTTTGATTATTTTCTTAGAAGCTCTTGAAGCGCATGTGTCTGAAACAGACAAGGAAAAGCCATTGAGCTGAATGTCTGTAATTGATCTCTGGGCGCTCTTAAGTTCTCCCCCTCTCTTAAAGTCTGTGATGTATGCACTCTTTTCATTTGGTGGCAGGTGAGTTAAATCTGCCCTGTTGAAGAAGAGGTTGCTTTGGTAATTCTCAGGGATTTTTGCTCCGTGAGTTGGAAGAGTGGCATTTCATTCTTGCTAGCTGCTTCAGTGCAACAATCTTGGTGCTCGTGCATCCTTGCCAGTCTGTGCAGGAGACAGAACAAGTTAGCATACTCGATTGGGTTTCTGGGTCTATTTCTGCATCAGCTCTAGCAGGATATCCCAAGCAGAATTCTAATCTGATTTATTGGATACCTCGCCCCCCCCCCCCATTTTTCCTTGTCATTTGACCCTAAGGGTCCCCTCCTCTCAATGGGAGTTGAAGCCTTCTTCAATTCCTCCTTTGTCTAGGATATCCCCCCTCCTTTTAAGTGGGGGTGGATGGAAGGAGAAGGTGCAAGGGTACCAGGGCCAGGGCAGGGCTTTGAGCTACAATGGGAGTCCCATTCACTGGCTGGTCCCAGTCATGCTGAGTGATTTGCCTTCATTAACTGAAGGGTCCCTGCTGTACTCTTTGAAGAAAGGTTATCATTGTTCTTGTTTGCACAGATGAGCTGACTGATAAAGCAGTCAGGTGGCCGCCACAGAGGATGCATTGTGAGGACCGATCATTGAGAAACCCATGAGCTCTTGTCCGGCAGCTCTTCTGCCAGCCTGTTTTCTATACCCCTTTGGTTATTATTGTCAGGGGTGGGGGTGGGGCTGCCATACGGCCCACAAGGCCTGAGTACTTGAGAATAACTGCTGGAGTCTTTGAAGCAGCATCAGTCAGCCAGCCAGGCTCTGGAAGTCTTTGTGTACACTGGTTTCTCTTCCCAGTGCTTTTCTCCTTCCCCTGAGATTGTATACTCCAAGAATTACTTTTTAAATGGTTGCTGCTACACCATTTAATTTCCCATGTTTTATTTATTCATTTGACTGACAAACACACACACACACACACACACCCCTGGCATGTGTCAGTTGCTAGCCTTGTGATGAGGGTTGTGAGAGCACAGAGAGTCTGTCCTCCTGGAGCTCATCTTCATGTAAGAGAGACGGGAAGGAAGGAAGGCAGTTCATGGAGCATGGTGAGTGTGGACAGCGAGGCATGCAGGGAAGGAAATGAGGAGGCTAACACAAGCCTGCTGTGGTAGCCATCCCTCAGCATCCTCAGAAGAGCACCATCAGGACCCCCTGGTCCCATGCGCTTTAAACTGAATCTAGATTACTTACAGTGCTTCATGTGATGGTAATGGTATTCAGATGCTTACACTATATTGTTTGTTGAATAACAATGAGGAAAAAAATGTCTGTATGTGCAGAATACATATGGAACTTTTTTCTGAGTAATTTTGAACTGACGTAGTTTGAATCCATGGATACAGGGTGCTGGCTGACTCCTTTTGGCTACCTCTGTGTGGCATGGGGGCAGATAGACAGACAGGCAGACAGACAGACAGACAGACAGACTGACAGACATTGTTCTTACAAGTAGACCTTGCTGTTTGTAAATAGGCTGAGAGCAGACAGCTGATCTGGTTTGGATTTTAAAGTTTAGCACCATTTCTTCTCTGTTTACACAGCCGTGGGAGCATACATGTGTCAGCATGTTCTGATTTAGTCAGTTTACAAGCTTTGCTCGCCTTCAGCTTAGAAAGTAGGGACCAGAACATTTGACATGTTTTATGATGCCTTCTATTCGTGAGTTGTGCCCCCCCCCGCTGTGCTTCAAGAATGAGTGTAGGTTAAAATCTTTCTCATAAAATTTCCCATGGGAGTCTTGGCTCCCACTTTTTAGTGTCTGATCTGTGTTTCTTAAGGACTTAGCTGAGACAAGGCAAGACTCCTCAGCTCCCACGTACTTCTGTTTTCATCTGAGTCCAAAGCCCTTCTCCCTAATGCCCTGGCAGAGAAGCTATTTGGCTTCGGTTCTGAGTGCATATGGGGGTCCTTGCCTGGCTACTCACTGGGCTCCTTCTGTGTTGATACTGTCAATACTGAAGACTTAGGGAAATGCCTTGTGGCCAACATGCTGAGGGCCGGGAGGCCCCGTATATTACCCAACACCATTTCACCACTGAGGCTGCTGCCAGTTGGCATCTGTCACATTGGGAGTTGCCCCTGTGGGAATCCATGACAAGTAGGTTCTAAGACGTTGGTTCACCTCCAACAGCAAAGAGCAGGTAGGGGGTTTCATTTCCATTCTGACTCACTCAGCCTCCTGCCATGCCCTTTTGAAAGGAGATCTTGTGGGTGGCCTATTGAGATCTCCTGGCAGAATTTCCTGGGACATTGCTTACAATGTAAAGTTCAAGCCTGCGGTTCTAAGGCCTTTCTGGAGTCCTCAGAAAGCCCCACGTCTGCCACTGTCATAGTGGCAGCTTCAAATATGGGTATCCTGTTCCGAAATGTGTCTGTGGTTGGATGGTACCTTGGAGGCATCTCAACAGAGTATAGCTTAAAAAAGTGTAATTACAAGTGTAATTTCCTTTTCACACGACCATAACACATGTAAGTTATGGAAGATCTGTGTTTACTACACATGTGTGTGTAGATGATAGATAGATAGATAGGTAGATATAGATAGATGATAGATGATAGGTAGTTGATAGTTGATAGATAGATGGTAGATAGATGGTGCATAGGTAGATGAGAGGTGTGGAGGGAGGAGAGAATGCCTGAATACACGAGAGAAAACCCTACCCTCTACTCATCAGTACCTTTGTTAGGCATGCATGTGGCTCAGTGGTAAAGTGCTTGCCCAGCATGTGTCAGGTCCTGGGTTCAGTCCCCAAGGCAATGAAATGAGAGAGAGGGAGGGAGGGAGAGAGAGAGAGAGAGAGAGAGAGAGAGAGAGAGAGAGAGAGAGAGAGAAAGAGAAAAAGAAAGAGAGAGAGAGGACACACACAAACACCCACACAGAGTGTACCTTTGTGGATTTTGTGGATCTGATCTGGGTATGTAGCCCACTGCTCCAGTCTGGCAAGGTGGTTCCCATCCTTGGTCTTCCATCCTGGAAAAGTCTAGTGTTTCAGGCTATGGTATGGTCCTCATCACTGGGGATGAGCTGCACCAAAGAGAATAGAAAGCCTCCCCCTTTGAGAACATTTCCTAGAAGCTGTCCCATTATGACAAGCCCATGCTCTACTATAAGGAAGAGAATACAACTTTGACTTCTTGGCCAAGTGCCCAGAACGTTAGGGATTTCCTAGTGGGGATGCTGGATACTGGGGCAGTGATTACTTGTCGTGCAAGGAGGATGGTTTGATATATTCTAAGAGATTCAAGAGATCCCAACAGATAGAGGAGAACAGTTAGTATACATTTAATGTAGAATCATAGGAGACACATTTGGTTTTTACCAATGGTATCATTTTTAATTAAAATGCAGAAAATGGTCTGTAGCGTTTACAGAGCACCTCCAGAAATGTGTGTGGTTCCATGCTTAGGTGCAATAGGTCAAGCAGACTGGAGTGTGCTTCCAAATGCTTTAGGTTCAGTAGGTCAAGCAGACTGGAGGAGAGCTAATTCTTAGCAAGGTGACATCTTTGGTTGCCATTTTATTTATTGTTACTGATTTCCTACAGTGAATGGGTTTGCCAACTTTCCATTTTCCATCAGTGAAGGTTTCCAGAATCTCCATCTGTGTGAGTCATAGGTTAACACCGTGAGAACTGGGGTCAGTAGTATGTTAGCGTTCAACGAAGGGTAGGACTGTGTGGCAACTCAGGGTACCTATGTCACTCTTCATAGACCTCTCCTGTGGCTTCTGTCTTAAACAATCCCAGGTGGCAGCCCGCACTGGTGAGATTGGAGTGAGAAGACGTACTCAGGCCATGTCCAGGTCTGCAAGCAAGCGAAGGAGCAGGTTTTCTTCTCTCTGGGGCCTGGACACTACCTCCAAAAAGAAGCAGGGACGCCCCACCATCAACCAGGTAGGTCCCAGAGTCCACAGAAAGAGCCTATAGATATTTCTTCTGGGTCCATTGATTTGCACATGTGGGAGTGTGCATGTTTTTCCTTATTGACACTTTAAATCAACTTGACATGAAGTTAGTGTGCTAGTAATTTTTAATAAGTAATTTATACCCCAAACATGGAGCTCTGCTATTAATCTGTCACCACCATTCATCTCCCACCTGCATTCTACCCAAACTTGAGTTAATCACAGACCCACTCAAGAAAAGTGCAGAATTCGTACAAGTCCTCCGAAGAGAGCTGCTGCCACAGGAAGCCAAGTGAGCATTAGCTATAGTCTTCCTAAGCCGTCTCAGGTGCTGGATCACAGGCAGCCTCCAGGGAAATGTGTTCATTTCTTTGTCCCTGAGATTTGGAATGTGGCCTTAAATGGGCAGCTCAGTCTATGGGCATGAGGACCCAGGAATGTGAGAATGATGCCCGTGGCTGCCGGTTCTGCTCAGGTCCAGGGCTGGCAGAGGATGTTGTCAATAGCATCATCTAGCTGATGGTGGGTGGAGCCCTGCCTGAGTAACCACACCCAGTGGTCCTTCTCTTCCCTCTTTCTTCTTGCTGGTGTTACTTCTAGAAAACTCCATCCACTCTCCATTATTTTTGTCATCTGTCCCCACTGAACAGCCTTAAACTATTCATCTAGACTTTAGAGTCCAGAAGCCAGGAGCAATTTTCCTCGTTTTGTAGGGAGTATTCATTTCATGGGCTACTGTGGCTTACTGTCAAGCACTGACTGTGAGGGTTATGACCGGATCACCAGTGTAACCTCCATGTGATGCCACTGAGAAAACTGACTTGATCACCGCAGTCCCTTACCGTTTCCTCTGAGAACTGCAGCCACCAACTTCCATAGGGATGAAGGTTTAAGAGTTGGTCCTGAAGGCTTCTGTCCTAAATTCTTTAGTTGGCCAACACACTCACCTTTGAAACAAGGCATTTTTGCCTTGATGGAACCTGAAAGAGACTAGTTAAGCGTGTGATGAGAGAGTGTGGAAAATAAACAACCTTGTTTATTTTCTAATTTCGGAGAGGGTAGGATGTAGACCTATCATGGACTTGGCACAACAGAGACTCAGTGGTTCTCCATCCTACCTGCAGACAGGGCCGTTAGCATCAGCATCTCTCCCTTCCTTCTGGGGGGACTGGTCTTACAAGTTTGACTTATGTGGCTTTGCCTTTTGAGTTAGACAGTAGCCTACTGAAATGCATGACCAAATTTCAATAAGTGCAAGCAAACATCTTCACAACATGTTGTTAAACCATTCTTGTAATTCATAAAGTAAATTTTTTTTAAAAAAATCTTGCTTAGCCATGAATATTATAATAGAAAACTGGTCACTAATTTAGGACTCTAAAATAGACAAAAATTCTGTATTCCTCTAACCTCATTTACACTGGTTAAAAAAGGTATTGACTTTATTCCAGTGGTACATGCTCATTTAATAGCCTGCATATAGAATTTATTGTGACTGTGTCTGGATAGTGATCATTTTCTTTATATCTTTAAGTTGCACAGTTTATCAAATTTCAGAAAACAGCAGTTTTCTGGTTTTTAAATAAAAAAAACCCTCTTTCTACCTTTTATATAAAACACACACACAAAAAAGCTATACATATCACCTTTTCCAGTTCTATGGAAGAATATGACTTGAAAAGGCAGTGTAATTATGGGTCAGTAGCTGCCTAAGTCTTCTACATGGATGAGTCTAGTTCTTTGCCTTTTCGAATTTTCTCTTAAATGTAGACAAAGTGTCCACATTACTCATGTCTGAACTATTAAAGGTGTGGGAAGTTTGATCTACAGGGACCTGATTCTTGTAGTTCTCTCCACCTTAAATTGTGACATAGTATGGGGTCCAAGAGGGCCTGAATTCTGCCATGATGTTTTCCCAAAGCCCTGCCCATTTCCAGCGGCTGCTCCATGCTTCTTTGCCCTGCTGCCCAGATTTCTTTTTTTAAGGTGAGGCTTTTCTATATGCAGGTGTTTGGAGAAGGACCTGATGCAGTCAAGAAATCGTTAGAGGGAATATTTGATGACACTGTTCCAGATGGCAAGGTAAAAATAAACACGTGTTCCTTTTGGAGCACGTTGGCAAATGCACAGTGCGGTGGTTGGGGGATGCTAAAATCAAGTACACTCAGCATGAAAAACCGAAATGATCAGGTTTTTAAAAAAGTTATGTAATAGGTTGTCGTGAGGTGGAGAAATCATTGTCTGTTGAACTCTTGCTGCTAATAAGAACAGTTCCCTGCTGACATAACATTTCCCGTACTTAGCATTTGATGTGTAAGATTCCAACCAGAATATAAGAGAAGATTTGAGTTCTGAGTTAACTGAACATTTTATGTCATTGCTAATTCCTTTTTATGCTCAACTTTTATTCCCAAGAGGTGAGATCTTAGTGTCCTCACGCTCTGCCCACACATGCGATTTTGTTCCCATTAGTTTCAAACAAGTGTTCTGATAGTGTGTTCTTGGTTTTTTTTTTTTTTTTTTTTTTTTTTTTTTTTTTTTTTTTTTGCATTTGCTCCCAAGTCAAATACTCAATTTGAAGTTCACGACGTGATTCAGCCTTGTGCTTGAAATGAACAGGGGCTTTGAAAGCACTACGATTGAAACTCCACAAGGACACTGAGTCCCCCACAGCCACTTTTTATAGCCTCTCTTAAAAAACAGAACACCCCCTTTTTCAGAACCCCCATTCCACTTCTCTTTGGGGTTCTAGTGTCGACAGCACAATGTTGCTGTGATTTCCTGGTTCCCATTCCTAGGATCAGTGTGACAGAATTCAGCTTTTGGTTGCCATGCAACCAAGTGATACTAGTCAGCAGTGGCTAAGCCCAGTGTTCTAGAAGAATCTGAGCCTCAGAAATCAGAGTACAGCGTGGAATTCTTGGTATTGGAGGGAATGGGAGAAGAGTGGTCACAGGAAAAGCTTTTCTTTATTCAAACCTTCTGGATGTGTCATCCGGGGTTTGGAGGGTTAGTTTAGGGAATACACTCCCATGGCACTCTCTTTGAATGATTGTTCATGATGAAATTAGATCACTGCACCTATACACGATCCAAGCATAGCCTTTAATATTTACTTTGTCATATCTGAAGTTGGCCAGTTTTGCACACATTTTGCATTTTAAATGATGCAGTGCCTTGTCTTCTGCATGGGGTTTAGGAATGACACAACTCTTGAGTTCCCTGGTAGATCTGTGTTTTCCATTTTTCTAGGCTAACTTTTAAAAATTCTACTTCCTGGCATTTAGCCTCATCTTAAAGAACAGTTTAGATGCAAACCTAGGGTTGATGCAGTGCTAAGGGGCACTTATTTAGTGTGGCATGTGGGGACAGCCTGGGAAGATTCCAATTGTAGGTAATGGGCTGTAGACAAGTGATTGCTTTTTGCCAATTATTTTCCTGGAGCCCCTCTTTTTCTGTGGAAGTAGCGTTCAAAAGCAGACCCGAGACTTCCATAAGGTCCTTTCCTCATTCCTGAACCCCATGATTCCCATTAATGGAAGTTATTTTACCAACTCCCAGGATTGGCTGAGAACTTTGTTTCTTCTTGCATGTTGCTACTGTTAACCTTGTTCTTGGGAATCTGTAGATCCATATTTACCAACTGGAGCTCTTGTTATAAAACCCTAATAAAGGTGTATCACTTGAGCACCAAGTATTTTTTTTTTACATTCCAGTGATTTAACACATTCTTCCTTTGCTTATTTGACTGGACTCCTAATGGACCAGCCATCCACAGAGTATTTTCTGCTTAGCCATTCTACTTGCTTAGGGTCAGCCCAGCTGCATCTGCACAAATTCTTCTCAGCATCCATAGGCATGCTACTCCTCCACCCTTAGCCAGCGTGTGATCGAGGCCACAGTCATGGCAATGGGCTAAGGTGGCTCCTTGCAGCTCTTTGAACTGGGATGTGGAGCTGTTCCTTCCAAGTTGTCCTGGTGGTCCAAGCAGCACAGGATGCTGCTGCCTGTCACCACGCAGTGCCAGGCCATTGTCTCTGTGAACACAATTTCCCCGGGGCCTCATTGCTTCTTTGCTGTGTAAGACACTTACATGGCAGATATTCTTGCTGATAGAATTCTCTGCTCAAATTTTTATTTAGTTGTTCTTGTTTGTTTTTGTTTTTTGAGACAGGGTCTCTCTGTGTAGTACTGACTGTCCTATAACTCACTCTGGCCTTGAACTCACAGAGATCTGCCTGCCTCTGCCTTCTGAATGCTGGGGTTAAAGGAGTGTGCCACCATAACCTGGCTGCTCAAAATTTAAAATGACTTTGTGGAATAAACAATGTAGTGAACCAAATGAATGACTTGATTTTTTTCCCATCTTCCAAATTTTGCTGTCCACTTATCCATGCCATGCCCACATAATGTCCATGATCCAGGTGGGGAAGGGGGCCCCATGTCCAGGGTCAGAGGCTGTCTGCCCTTCCCCTCGTAAAGCTCCTTTCTCAAGAGTTCCAGTTCCTGAGGGCTCCCTCCAGTACTGCCACTCCTCCCACTAGCTGTTTCCCTGGGGGTAGATATCTGGGGTCTGACATGGTTAGGTCTGGACTGCTGCAGCCCTGCTTATTGTATTTCTTACCACAGAGGGACAAGGAAGTGGTCTTACCCAGTGTCCACCAGCACAATCCAGACTGTGACATCTGGGTCCATGAATATTTCACTCCATCCTGGTTCTGTCTGCCCAATAATCAGCCAGCCTTGACGGTTGTGCGGCCGGGGGACACTGCGAGGGACACCTTGGAGCTCATTTGCAAGGTATGTAGGTAGCTGTCTGGTTGTTTTCCAGGGAAGAGCAGATTGGATGGAGGCCTATTCTCGAGCACCTGTGTGCACAGTCTGAGGGAGGAGGCGCTGGGTATGTCGTGCACATGCAGGCAGCCCTGTGACAGTTTGCACCATATGTAAGCAGTGTCTGTGTGAGGAGCAGGACACTCTCCAGGGGTGTTTTGTTTACATGTACACATTTCTAGGTTTGTAATGAGTATACGACCTTACCCACACACAGTATAGGAAACCTGAGACGAAGATACAATACAGAACTAACCACTGTGGACATTTGACTGTTTGCCTTTTATATGCCCCCCCATATGTAAATGTATTTAATAGTGTCACACCATGGGTACCATTTTGCAGCCTGATGTTTGAATAGTAATTGATTCACCAGCGACATCTTTCAGTTAGAGAAAATCCAAAGTGAGTGTGAGTTTGATGTGATGGGAAAAAGTTCCTCTCTCTGTGGACATGGAATTAACCTGTGTTTTTAAACTAGAAAGTGATTGATTTCATTCTTCTTTTGCTTGAAGATGTGGATCTTGATTTTTTTTTTTTTAAGGTGAGATTCTTCTCCTAGCTGAGTGCCCTTGAGTGACAGTGGGAAGAAGGACTCACCCATGCACACTGGTTTCCACTTTCCCATAAGTAATGGCCTCAGTGGCCTTACTTGGTCACATCAGGTCTGAAAAGGAGATGTCATTGTCCTGGTTTGAAAGTGAGGTTCTGAAAGCCTTCCTTCCTTTCCACACAGCCCAGTCACAAGGAGAGGAAAAACTGGCAAAGTGAGCACAGGAATGCCTCAGCCTAGTTCCTGCTGGCTGCTCCCAACCTGGGCGGGTCGAGTTGTGACAGGTGGACACTCACAGAAACTCCCAGATCCTCCGTCTGTAGGGAGGATAGCCCCCAAAGCTCACAAGAACCTAGAATATGTTCTTAGGGAGTGAGCTGATCCTCCAGGAGGCTACAAAAGTAGAAATCTTTTGTATCCTAATTTTATTCCAGAACCATTTGGATGGATAAAAATGACATTTGAAAAGCACTGTTCTTTCCACATATGAGTTGTAAATATTGAATAATTTCACTCCCTCAACAAGTATGTTGTAATTACACTCTCAGAAATTTATACATGTTTTTTTAATTACTAATGCCTTAAAAATATGTGTCTTTATATGAATGGAGGAGGGAAATGAAATAATCCAGCTCAAATATGATTTTCAAATAGCGTTATGTGGAGAAAAGTAGATCAACCTATTGTTTCAGGACAAACTAAACTTGGCCCCCACATAGGCATTAAAAATAAATGATAGCGACTCATGCATGCGCATGATTTCTAGGTTTTGAATGTAATGGCATCTCTGTTATAACTTTTTGTGTTAATTACTTACGAAAGTTGGTCTGTTGAGGATTTCTACATTCTTTTATCTATAGCTAAGCAGGGTTCCTTAGAGAGCCATTAATACTCTGCAGAGCTGTGGGAGTTGTTCTCAGTGGGAGCTGCTGGAAGTAGAACTCTGGCCTTTTTTCATAAGCCAGGTCCTGGAAGGTGTTTCCAGTGAGTAGCATGACCATGGAGGAATACCCTTAAGGAATTGAAAAGTAAGCCATAGTTTTGTGGTAACCATGTTTTGTGAGAAGTTAATCTGTGGGAGGTACAATGAGTTGGTTGGACCAGTGTTAGACTCTTTTTAAGACTTAAGAACGGGAGTCTTTTATGTCATTATTGTCATTGGTGATGGATGCTGTCTCTAATAATTTCTAGAAGGTGAGAGTTAAAAAGTAACATTGTCTCTGCCATATGGAGACCATCATTAAATAATACCGTTGCTCTGTTCCTTTAAGTTTTGGTTCCCTGGGTTGCCATTTCCTCCAAAACATAGAACTAAGACACTGTAGAACAAGCCTACAGCTCATGAGTTAAAAAATGGAAAACTTGCATGGTGTATTTCAAGAAACGCTGTTCTCTGGCAAAGGATGCAGTAGGGTAAAGTGTAGTGTGCTCGGACCTAGATGCCGTCTTGACTCTTCAGTAATTAGTGGAGCAGCTTTATTCTTGAGGCTGGAAAGGGAAGTGAGGGGTGCCATGCGTTATAAAATGGTCTAATGCTGAAAGAGTTTGGATTTTTGGAGGAGGGATGGAAAATGGAGACTTAAGAATGTGAGTCTTTTATGTCATTATTGTCATTGGTGATGGATTCGGTCTCTAATATCTAATAATTTCCTCTGTCTTTTGCATGAGCCCATTTTCTCTCCTACTTCCTGACCCACATCATGTCACATCCGTTTTCCATCTGCCATCCGATCACCAGTCAAGTCCTGGTATAGGAAATGTTTCAAGATACACATTTCATGCTATAGATGGTACTGAAATGACTGTTAGATGTAGGTGGTAACCATGTCAGCCTACAGCCTATAGGGGCTGTTTTTTTTTTAAAAAAAATATATTCAGATGATTGCAATTATAAAAAATTGCAAAAAATGATTCATACTGTTCGTGTGTAAGCATGGTGTCAATTTTACTAACTGCTTTTACTAAGTATCTTTATATGACTATGTGTGTATCTGTTCATTTTGTATAAGTGTAGGTCAAAGGACAACTCTGGGTGCCATCTGCAGGGATACAAATCATCTCCTTTCAGATAGAATTTGCAATTGGCCTGGACCTCATCATGTAAACTAGACAGGCTGGCCAGCTAGCCCAAGGGTCGCCCTGTCCCCGCCCCACACATTGGGATCATGGTGCCATGCCATCACTCCTGGTGGTTTTCCGTGGCTTCTGAAGGAGAAGTCAGGTCCTCATGATTGCAAGGGAAGTGCTCTACCCCAATCCATTCTTACGTAGTTAATGTCTCAAACTATTTATTTAAAATATCTACATCATTACTTAATCCTTTGAAATAATTATACTAAGATCTGAACCTCAAGAAATTATGCTAACTAAACTCAAACTTGCCCAGTTGTGATATTTATTGTATGGCGCAATTTACAGCTAGTTTTCTTGCCTCAAAACAGATTCAGTGCTAAGTGATTTAAGTAAATGTACATTGGAAAACAAATTTGTACCGCTTAATTTTTTTCCTAATGGAATTCCTCTTGCACGGAAATTTTCTCTTGAGTGTTTTACAAAGTCTGAACAAGCCAGATGCTCAACAGTTATCCATCAGTATTCTCTAACATTTGGAATTCTTTCTGCATGAACAAGTGTTACGAACACAGTTGATGCTTAGACCCGCTTTGATATTGAAGCTCATAACGCTCTTGAGGATTCAAGTAGCTTTTTAAAAATTATTAAATTATCTATTTTTATTTTATGTGTGTTGTTGTTTTGCCTACATGTCTGTCTGTGTGAGGATGCCGGAACTGGATCCCCTGGAACTGGAGTTACAGACAGTTGTGAGCTTCCAATTGGATGCTGGAAATTGCAACAGGACCTCTGCAAGAGCAGCCAGTGCTCTTAACTGCTGAGCCATCTCTCCAGTCCTTAATTAGCTTCTTAGGACTGTGTTTTATTTTAGATCGACCATGTTATGTGGGTTCATGATCCTGAAACTTTCACCAAAATGGGAGGACCCACAGGAATGCTCATCTTCTGAGCCTGGTTTTAGAATGACTATTGACAACCGTGGATGTCTTTAGATTTCCTGTTACACCTATATAAATGAGCCAGAGTGGTCTCAACCTTGAAACCTTTCTGCCTTAACCTCCAGAGTGCAGGGACTGTAGGCGTGTGCTAACACTCAAGCCCGCTGTCATTTTCACAGCCGTGGCAAGATTCAGCTTTGCTTTTTAAAGTTATCAAGACAATGAGTAATATAAAGATGTTTGGAAAAATACATGCAGCATGAACCCTGTTCTCTGTACAGCACTAAACCCCAACTGCTGCTTGTCCTTCCCTGGGCAGTTCCAAAGGTCAGCACTGTGTTGTCTGGGGCCTGGCGGGAGCCCCCCTAGAGCTGGCTGGTGAGCGCCCCTCTGAGGTTTGACCCCAGTGTTCATGGGTGAGCTCAGTGCTGCGTGTGATGTTGGTAAGGTGTCAGTGAAAGTGACCATCTGATTAGGACTGCCCACAAGAATTTATTAATGATGACAGTAAGGTGTCCAAGCTGCTTTGTTCCTGTTATTGAGACCCCGTGAGTGAAACTCTGCCCCCTTCCCTTCCACAGATAGCAAAACAAATTTTTGCTTGTAATTAAAGATTTTGTGAGGACCTGGGAAAGAGAGAAGTGCCCCCCCACTCCGAAGCCAGGCACATGGGGAACTTTTCCTGTCACATCACCCTATTACTGTTTTCTTAGTGCAGTGGGTAGCACTCTTAAAGGCTCCCCTGTTGTGTTTTCTCTCAGCTCACCCACCCCCTTCTTCACCTCTGACATCGAGAGCCGTGGGCTGTCAGAGGCATCCCGTCTCAGACATAGTGAAAGACAGCCAGGTGCCTGGAGTGTATTCACTGAATGGTGTCTGTTCTGTACCATGGACTTCAGAGTCACAATCTGTGAGACTGAGGCACAGGCTGCGGTTCCCCAGGAACCAGCGATAGGAATGGTCTTTATCATTCTGCCGTGTGCTCCCAGGGGACTCATTTCCACTTCCTGGAAGCATGCTTTTGTGGTCATACATGACTGCCCCCCGTGCATGAGTTCAAGAGCCACCAAGCACCTCTCTGCCTCCCTTTTTCTGCATACGGATTCTCCAAACCCAAGCACACTAGAGAGGCCTGCAGTGATCCGAGCTACTGTCTGTACCCGAGTGGCTTCATGGGGTGTCCGCTGGGCACACTGCCCATGTTAGCTTTGACTGCGTGAATGATAAGGGAATAATGACTGGAATGCTACTAGTTTGGTCTGTGTGTTTATATTTATACTGACAGTGTAGAGTATGAATTTTTACCAATTAAAATGAATTTCTCTTATTACAAGATAATCCTCAGCCTGGCGGTAGTGGTGCACACCTTTAATCCCAGCACTCAGGAGGCAGGGGCAGGTGGGTCTCTGAGTTTGAGGCCAGCCTGGTCTACAGAGTGAGTTCTAGGACAGCCAGGGCTACACAGAGAAACCCTATGTCCCCCCCCCCCCCAAAAAAAGATAATTATCATTACAGGGCATCGAGAAATATTTTTATAACTTACTTTATATAAAATTGAAATTTTATTTTATTTTTATTACTTTTTGTTTGTTTGTTTGTTTGTTTTTTTGAGACAGGGTTTCTCTGTGTAGCATTGGAGCCTATCATGGCACTTACTCTGGAGACCACGCTGGCCTCGAACTCACAGAGATCCGCCTGCCTCTGCCTCCCGAGTGCTGGGATTAAAGGCGTGCGCCACCAACGCCTGTCGAAATTTTATTTTACAAATCTGAGACATTTAAAACTTATGTAAAAGTGAGGTCCATGTAGTAAATCCCTGTGTACCCATTGCATAGAATGTATGATGTTAAGTTTCATTGATTCTACCTCCAAGTGTGGATTACTTTGGAAACAAATTCTAAATAGTTTATCGTTTACTTGGTAGTATTTTGGGATGTAATTTTAAGTGATAGATAAGGGCATTTTACAATTAAAATTACCCGTTTAAATATTTCATCTCTTGCAGCATAACTTCATGGTGTCTTGTAGCACTTGATGTTTTGTTTTTGTTTCTTCTAGACAGGTTCTCTCTACATAGTCCTGGCTATCCTGGAACTCTCTTTGTAGACCAGGCTGTCCTCATACCCTACGCGATCCACCTGCCAGGATTAAAGGCGTGCGCCACCACTGCCTGGTGTCTTGTAACATTTGAAAAGCATTTTTCTTTTCTCCACATGCCTCATTTTTGTGTACTGAGAAGCAGTTATACAACAATATTGTGATGGTATCTTTTGTAATCAAAATGAATTCAAGAATGGCTTTTTACACAGACGTCAGAAAGGCTTGCAACGCTTCATTTGATGTGCTCCCTGGCTGGAGGCACACTTGCACTGCTCCTGGGATCCAAATGCCTTGCCTGCATGCTAACTTGCTGGCAGTGATCTGCGGACACCTGTCCTGGGGTCCCTAAATATCCTGGGGCACAGCCTTTTTCTCTCATGGTTAATGCTTCCCCTCTTTTCTTGTTACTCTCTCTGTGTGTGTGTGTGTGTGTGTGTGTGTGTGTGTGTGTGTGTGTGAAGTTACATGCAAGGGCTTCTTTAATGTAATAGATTTTGTTGGAAAAACCAGTGTTACAGAGAGCAGTTAATGACATATGTGGAAAAGAGCTGTGACTCAGTTTTCTGCGTTGAATTGCATGATCCCTGCAGGATTTTATTAATGAGTTCCAGGTCTGACTTGTATTCTAACCTTTTAAGGATAGAAACCTGCCACACACCCCATCTCTGTTGTCGTCAGGAGACAAGATAGCAAGTCCCGTGTCCTTGGAGAAGAACTCTCGTCTGGTTACTACTAAACAGACCTTTGCCTTCTTCCCCACCCCAGGCACATCAGCTGGATCATTCCGCCCATTACCTGCGCCTGAAATTTCTAATGGAGAATAGGATGCAGTTCTACATCCCGCAGCCCGAGGAGGACATTTATGAGCTGGTAATGCTTACGACCGCTGTCCCGTGTGCGTTCGGTTTTCAAATTATGTTTGTACGTGTGGTAATTGTAGCTGGTGGAGTGGAACGAGTTCTGAAATGAGTGAGCTTCCTTCGGAGTACCAAAGCTGGTAGGAATAACCTTACTTATCACAGACGTCCTCTGCTTGTCCAGGGATCGGGGCTGCACAGTCACAGAAGACGTTGAAACCCATAGATAAAGCTCAGGCAAGAGTTGAGTCATCATGACCTGTAGTCATCTTCCTGTAGACTTGTGTTCTTAATTGGTAATTCTAAGATCAGTTGCCTGTTGTCTCAATAAAAGCACCGACTCCAATTTTGTGAAACTTCCAATTCTTATCAAAACTGATGGATCAAATCTTGTGCATGGCTGGGCGTTGGTGGTGCACGCCTTTAATCCCAGCACTCGGGAGGCAGAGGCAGGTGGATCTCTGTGAGTTCGAGGCCAGCCTAGTCTACAAGAGCTGCTTGTCATGACAATGGGCACGAAAACAGGACAGGGCCTTACCACAGACAGAAGTACAGACCAAAGGTTCCTTTTGGGAAGGGGAATGACTGTGTGGAGTTTTACAGGAAACGGTGTTTTACGTCAACATTTTGAACTATACTTCTTATATTAGGAAACTCTCACCAATGTTAAGCACTCATTTTAAAGAGCTTTGAAAAATTTATGCAATTATGTTTCCACTGCAGTGGTTACGATCTGGAATGTTTTTTGCCGGCCTAGAAGGTCACCTCAGATCCCTCTAAATGTTTTTTAAGGAAATTATGAGATTGTACTTCTCTAACAGTCTGATCATGTTATATGTTGGGAAAGGATCAGAGTGGGGCTGGAAGGATGGGTGGTCCTGTGGTTTGGAACACTGACTGCTCCTGCAGAGGAACTGACCGTGAGTTCTCATTACCCATATGGTGCCTCAACCATCTGTAATTATGGTTCTGGGGTATCTGATGCCCTGTTCTGGCTTCTGTAGTCACTGCACACATGTAGTGCAAAGACATATTTGCAGGCAAGACATATATAAATAAATTATTTATTGGAAAAAGGGAAAAGAACCAAAATAGTCAGTCCACTTTAAACCACTGTTGACCGTGTCCCTGGAGGAGGCCACATTAACAGTGAGGGGCCCAGGTGTTTCTTCTGAGAAGTAGAGAATAGCCAGACTCTCTATGAAAGTCCTTTCCTTATTTAAAGAAGGAAGTACTTAGGAGGCTGAGGCAGGAGGATTACATGACCCCAGGAGTTCAAGGCTAGCCTGGAGAACAACATAGCAAGATGTTTCTTGGAGCAAATGCTTTTCCAGTCTCGCACTAAATGAGTTCTTACTCAAGTGATGGGGGAAAAATGTGCCAGCAAAATTGATTAACGTATTTATTCATTCATCTAGCAAATATTTACTTAGCATTTTTGTGCTTGGCATAATCTCTAATTCTCACAGGGTGTGTGCCAAAGGGAAAAAGAACCCTGTTTCTGGAAGAGCCTGCATTCAGGTTTGCAGACAGGCATATAAAAACAAGCCAGCAGCAGCAGCGTTTGAGGCTTGGAAAAGAAAGATGTTAGGGCAAAGGGATGGAGAGGTGTGCTCGGGTGTGCCATCTGAATGGGCAGTGGGAGAGTTCCCCGTGCTTCACAGGAAGTGTCTCACGGAGGACACGTGGGTGTGGGGAGAAGGGCCAGTTGGCAGATTCTTGTCACACAAGCATGAGCTGCAGAGTTGGACCTCAGCACCCCTGCGAAAGGTGCTACCATGGCATGCAGCCGTGTTCCAGTGCAGGGGAGACAGGAGGGAGGGCCCTCAGAGCTTGCTGGCCGGCCACACGAGCCGACCTGGCGAGTCCCAGGCTAAGTGAGGCGGCGGTCAATGTCATTTAAAGTGGAGAGTGACCAAGGAAGATACCTGACACCAGTCCCCGACCTCACATGCATGTGTACATACCTGACACCAGTCCCTGACCTCACATGCGTGTATACACACATGACACCAGTCCCTGACCTCACATGCGTGTGCACACACATGACACCAGCCTCTGACCTCACATGCGTGTGCACACACATGACACCAGCCTCTGATCTCACATGCATGTGTACATACCTGACACCAGTCCCTGACCTCACATGCATGTGCACACACATGACACCAGCATGTGTACATGCATCTACATTTGCCAAAAGGAGGTGACACCACCGGCCCAGCCTGTGGTGGGGAGGACATGACTGAGCTGGTTGTACCATGCTAGGAGGTTAAAAACCAGATCAGGTACCAGACATGAAGCTAGAGAGGAACAGGGAGGCCGTGTAGAGAGAGTCCAAAGGAGAAGGGAGGCCACAGTAGAAAAGGACATTACACATGGCCGTCTACATCTGAGATGTACACTGAGAGTCTGCGCAAACAAGTCAGAAACAAACGGAAAATACCTCCCACATTGTTACTGCTTTATTGTATGTAACATACACAGTGCAAGGTACAGTGTGATGGCCATGACTGTACTGAATATGAATAGCCTTCCTTGGTCTTTATTCCCTACATAATACAATATGAAAACAATTTACCTGTCATTCGTGTTGCATTAGGTTGGTATCAGATTCAATCTAAAGATAAGTCAGAGTATGGAAGAGCTGGTGAGCACGGGTTTTGTACAAATACTACACTATTTTCTGTAAGAGAGTTGAGTGTGCAGGGATTTGTGCATTCTGGGGCCACATAGGCCCTTGAACCAGTTCTGTGCAGTTCCCTAGTAATGACCATAGCTGCCCTCTTTTGTTACAGTTTCCTTGAGGTTGTTGTGTGGCAGATGGATCGCACGGCATGAGACAGTGGGCACACAGAACCACTGCAGGCTAGGGCACCGTGGCTGAGATGAGAGACCATGGTGGCTTAGGCTGGGGCACCCAGAGGAGAGAGGAAAACAGGACATGATTTCGTGAGACCCAAAGAGGGGGTGCAATTTCAGTAATTTAATGAAATGGAGGTAATTTAATGTGTGCCACTTATTTGTGCATAAAGTGACCAGATTTCAAGTTTCCTAGCTCCAAATACTGTGGTCTCGGAGGAAAACATTTTAAAGACACAGTATATTCTTGAAATTTTCTGTATTTCATTAGAGTCTTTTGCTCCATCTGGTCTCAGTCTCAGCCAGCACAAGAGTGATTCTGTGGCTCAGGGGCCTGTTTATGCTGCTCTGAGCCGTCCTCGGAGACCAGTGGAAAGCAGAGATTGTGCACAGGTCATGTTCCCAGTGGGTCTTTCCAGCAATGGTTAGAACAGTTACACACTGCCACCTGGCGGGAAGGATCGGCTGTCACACACGTTTCAAAATGTACTCTCAGGACTCAAACTAAGCAGAGATGAACAATGGGTTAGGTTGTATTGCATACCGCGCTGTCCTGCTATTTGGGTGAGCATTATATGAGTAATTCCATATTTGCCATTTGGGTGACTATGTTTCCTGATCTTAAGATCATTATCGCCGAAGTCTTCTAACAGGGAAATTTAATTTTGTGAAACGTTTCCGAAGTATCTAAATAAAATCATACTGAGTTAAACCCCCTGACACCCAGGCTGTAGTGCTGATGTTCCTAGCTCTAACCCCTGTCACACTGTGTCAGAGTACACTGAAACAAGAAAATTGTATTCTTTTCTTCTTGCCGGAATAACGCTGGTATGCTGTAGAGGTGGGGGCAGGGCAGCCGTCACCAAGGGCTTTGCTTCAGTACTCCACCATGAAGTTTCTGTAAAGTTCTGTGGCTTGAGATTTACTTTCATTTCAGGATCAAATAACAGCTGGCATTTGTTTTTGCTCTTTTGTTTTCAAATTTGGGTTTCAGCTTTAGGCTTTCTTACCTAAGAAGGGAGGTCCACTCTCCTGACCTGGGACCCCTTTGGGTTTCACAAGTTGGCCTGGGAGTCACCATCGTGAGGCAAAGAGAACCGTATCTCTCATGGTTGCAAGATCCTGCCCTGCCTACCTTGGCTTAATAAACTTTTTAAAGTGTGTTCTCACCAGCCTTAGTCCCCTTGTTTGTAAAATGGAGATCGTAATTGTCCTGGAAGTGGACGAAGAGCCACATAGCTAGAAATCCATGTCTTATGAGATTAGGTTCAGATAGAGGAAATTACAATATCAGTTCATTTCACCGACAGTTCTGAAGTGCGAGCTCTACACTATTTCAGTCTTGAGTTTATACAGAAACACATGATGGATCGTGCTGGGTTTCTAGGTAGTCGATTGATTGTAGGCTTGATTTTCTGACTGATTCTGTAGAATTAAGTGGCTAGCAGAGACTCTTGCCCATCCACACAGTTTGTTTGTGCCAACATTCATCTCTACCAACTTTTCCTACCGTGGGTTTCCATGTGAAGGTGCTGTGTGTAAGCACAGAGGTACCCTGTATTCTCAGGACCCTCAGTCAGCGTGTTTATAACCACAGTTTGGTTTTGATGAACCCTCTGCCCAAGCACTGCAGGGTTTAATGGCTGAGGCGTTATTTTTCAGTCTGTGATGAATTTAGGGTGTTCCCTGGAGTGATGTGTGTGTGGAAGGAAGGGGGGGGGGTTAGAGTTCATACTGTAGCTGAGTTCGGTGACCAGATTTCTAAGTTTCTAATATAACTCTCAGTAGGTTAAAACATTTTTAAAAAAGAATGACTGGTGTGGTATGTATTTTTGTTCAAGTATCACTTATGAAAAAATAGATGTCCAAAATGCTGACCAACCCTAAGGAGCTGTTTGTGATGGGGCCCTAATTAGCCTCTTCTTTGTGATTTGCAGCTTTACAAAGAAATTGAAATCTGCCCCAAAGTCACCCAGAGTATCCACATTGAGAAGTCAGACTCCACCGCTGGAAATTATGGTAGGTTTGTTTGTCTTTGCTCTTGGGCGCTTGTGTTCCAGTTAGAGCATTTTCTGTGTAAACAGAATGTGCACATATTTACAATTCAATAAAAAGCCTTTGGGAGCCTCTTTCAAACAACACATTTGACTCCTGCGCTGGGAAGAGCATCTGAGCTACGAAGAGAGATGCTCACCCTGGGCACAGGGAGGGAAGTCCCTGGCCTTCAGTCTCCTAATTGAGTCTCCAGCGTTCTGCTGTCTTAAGAAGGAACTTGGGGAGGGGGTGGGGACAGAGAGCTAGCTCAGGGGTTAAGAGCACCTGCCGCTCTTGTAGAGGATCCACTTGGGATTCTTGCGCCTTGGGTGGCTCACAACTGCTTGCAGCTCCAGTTCCAAGGCATCTAATGCCCCACCTTCTTCTGGCTTCTGTGGTGCCTGTACTCATGGGTACCATACACTCGCACACAGACTCACAGAAATACAGTTTTTAGAATAAGGAACTGGACATAGTGGACAACAGAAAATAAAGTAACCCATTGGACATAGTGGGAATGGGTTACTTTATTTTCTGTTGTGCCTGACATGTGAAGGGAATAATATCCACTTATTCATCCTTCACACAAGCAGGCGCCGTCCTGCTTTTCCTATGGGTGAAATGAAAAGGACTTACTTATTGCTGTGCTCTGGTGCCCAAGACCACCGATGGTTCTCCAGAGGAGTTACTGCATAGTGTTCACCATGACTTTGAAGTGGTAACAGTGAAATAACACAAACAAAAATCAACAAAGGCGAAAGGACAGAAGAGAGTGTAGGGACAACAGGCTTCCGATACTGCTCACTCAATGGAGTGAGAGGGTAGAGTTGAGTCCCCAGGGTCAGTGTGGCAACACAGGATCGACTGTTAACTGGGGAGTTTTGAGAGACTTGGTCTCTGAGGCCTTTCTTGGACAGCAGGTCATCTTAAACACCCCTACCTGACACACACCATATCCTAGAGACCTGGAGGACAACAGGTACCTGACACACACTAAGTGCTGGAGGATAGCCGGCCATCTAAACACACTCTACCTGACGAACACACCCAACCCTGCTGTCCTGGAGGACAGACAACACTCACTCTAAATGACACCGTTTGTACTGTGTAGACGTACAAGCTGTATTAGAGTGTTGGGTATTTCCCTCAGACTAAGTGGTAGATGCCAGTCAAGGACCAGACTTGTGTGGGTCTGTCTGCTTGTCTTTCTTTTCTTTCTTTCTCTTATTTATTTGTTTACTTATTTATTTTGAAAGAGTGTTTCTCTGTGTCGCTTTGGCTGTGGCCTTGAAGACACTCTGTAGACCAGGCTGGTCTCAAACTCACAGAGATCCTCCTGCCTCTGCCTCCTGAACACAGGGTTAAAGGGGTGCACCACCACTGCCTGACTGTTGTGTACATCTTTCAAAAAAAAAAAAAAAACAAAAAAACTGGCAGGTCTGCCTGCTGTGTAACACCTTCCTGTATGGCCGACAGCACTCTGATATCCTTCGGAATGTGTCCTTCCAGTATATTTTAGACTGGTTTTAGTTTAAACAATAACAATAGCATTGAGTACAGCAAGTGTGGGAATCTGGATGTTAGGAGAGGAAGAGTTAGCTGAGGTAACAGTCACAAAGCCCAGCGCCCACACGTGACATTTCCTTTTTATACTCACCACATGTCCTTTGGGGATTTTCTGAGACTATTTGTCATCTGTACTCCAGAACCAGCCTGGAGAGCTGTCACCTGAGGTGTTATCTGTGGCTTTGCAAGAGGAAATAGGAGAAGTGGCGAATCAGGTCTTGCTCAATGACAGTCACAGGTCTATGCAAACCACATAGCCACCTATTTACAAAGTGTTGGCCTACTGTGCGCTGGAAGGAGCTGGCAGTTCCTGATGAAATGTCGAGACCACTGTTTACACATATTTGAGCTCTTTCTCTGAATGCTGCTATTAATCTTTTAGTGTTTGAAAATTTCCAAACCCTGCACAGGGCAGCTGGTATTATATTCCTTCCGCATCTCCTTCCCCAGGCAAATAACCTCATCTCAAAATGCTCGTCAGAAGCTTGTGGCCTAATGAAGAGGACCTAATTTTGTAGCTCTGGCCACTTCCATTATACCTTCATGCCATTTACTGTTTGACCCTTGAACTAAACACATCAGAAAGCCTGGAGGACATTTTCAGTGGCAACGAATTCATTTTTATAAAGGGCTTATTATGCAACCCAAGTGTGACCTCTGTGATTAAAGCCATAATTGGTGGCACTGGCGTAAACAAGTGCCTGGTCCTGTGGGACTCAGATGCTTTGGGCTGTGCTTCTTCTCCTGCCTATTGTACTTAATTTCTTTCAAGGAAGAGGAAACCAGTGGGGATCTAGACAAGAACTGATTTCCAAGCTCTTAGGCTTTTAGTCTAGACTCAGTGATTCCGGGACACAGAAGTAAGCCCTTGGTGTAAAGCCACCCTATAGTTACCTCTACTTTCCTTAGAAGATGTTTTCCAGGTGCCTAAAATTGTGGATAGCAGAGTCCTATGCCACATTCCCCCCCCCCACACACACACATACACACCAATAATAAAGTTCAAAGTTTTAATGTGTATGCATATATATGTTTTATCTGTGTGCAGTGTTGCATGCCTGGTGCCATTGGAGGTGAGACGTAGGAACTGGAATTAAAGATGGTTTCTAACCATCATGTAGTTGCTGAGAATTGAACCTGGGTCCTCTGGGCCCTTGAATACTGAGCCATCTCTCCAGCCCCTCATAAGGTTTGATTTGTAGGTTAAGCACACTAGGAGAATAACAGCAATGGACCATAATAAAGAAGCTCTGTAACAATGTGTTGTAATTAGAGTTACTTTCCTGGGTGCTGTTAGGAAGTACTCCAACAAGAGCAACCCAGTGGAGAAGGGGTTTATGTCAGCTCACAGCTCCAGGGTAGGTTCCGCCATGGTGGGGAAGTCCTGGCTTCAGGGGTCTGAGGAAACAGAAAGCAATGAGTTCTCGCACTCAAGATGCTGCCACCCTCCTTCCCTCCATTCATCCAGTCATGCCTGGATGGTCTCCGAGGGGATTGTAGGTAGAACTTGTTCACAGTCCTGCATGATCTGATGGTCTCACCCCAGAGACAGCTGTGCCATCTCAATGTAGACTCAGCCAGCCTGCATCTGGTCCTCATAGCAGCCTATGTGTAGCTTTCCTGTACATAGGAGCCCCACATGTGTGCAAGCCGCTAGCACACAACACCAGCACAGGCCATCTTAACAGTACCGAGTGCTGTTTTCTATTTGAGAACCGAAAAAGATGACCTAATAACTCAACTGGCTGAATAAATAAAGAGTAAACACTTAGGCCAGGCAGTGGTGGGTGCACGCCATTAATCCCAGCATCCAGGAGGCAGAGGAAGATGGATCTCTTGAGTCCAAGGCCTGCCTGGTCTGTAGAGTGAGTTCCAGAACAGCCAAGGCTACACAGAGAAAACAAAACAAAAGAAAACAAAAGAATAAACACCTGGGAATTTCTCTCTCCATGCCAGCCCTTAGGTGGAACTTAGATTATGTGCTGCTCCACTGTCTGTGAGTGGAAGTGTGCAGAGGTCAACACTGTGGCTTCCCCTTACCTCAGAGGACCTCTGATACTATGTTAGCTGTGTGTCATCCTTATGGTGAGCGTCTGTACCTGAATCTCTGTTGTGGATCCCCTTTGGCCATGGATGTCTGTATGAGGGATTTCTTGGCAGTTCATCAAATCAGCTGGAGGTCTAGTTTCTTCACGTGATCTTAATTGCTTCCTTCTCTAAGTCCTAGGGCATTTATCACTCTTGATGCCTTCCTGTTTTTACAGTGGCGGCCTCCTGATTACTGGTTACCTTGGTTTGATATTGAATGATGTCCTTCTGCCCCTGTTGGCAATCATTTTGGCTTTTGTTAGAGTCTGCAGAGATTATAGGGTGTTCCCATCCCACAGAAAACCTTTGTTAATTGGCTGTAAGACCACTGACTTCTTCATTCAGCTAACTGTAGCTTGTAAAGTTTCCATAACTTTGTTGATGTAGGAGATGGTTACCTGTGCTGCCCCGTGCTGCAGGTAGGAGCTGCTTGGACCCCCCTACACATTTGTCCTTCAGGGTGCTGCATGTGTTTGTAAAGTTGTGTCCTCCTTGCATAGACTTTGGAAAGGAAGTTGTGCCCATGGTCTGTTGACAATCAGAGATGATCCTGCTTGAGAACTCGAGTACGCTTCTGGTTTCTAGATGTCTATATTTTGTACCCAAGTGCCTGGTGCAGAATTTCATAGTTAACATAGGGCTCAGAGTGGACGGGTCCCCTGCCTCGCCCACTCCTTATCTGTCATTCAAACACCAGGATCAGAAGGAAATTCTTGAATGACCTCTGTCAACTGTGGCTCCAAAGCGTCCTCTGTCTTGTCTTCCAACTACACAGCCTAGTTCTCAGCATGTCCCATTAGCATTTTAATTCCCCTGCCCCGTAAGAATGAAATTCAAACTAATAATATAGTGAAGACTAGGAAGTTCTGTTCTCTGTCTGAGAGAGTTATAGGAGAATTAGCAATGGCAGGTGGCCTTTCCTGCCTAGTCCACGAGCTAAACAGAAAGCTTATATTTGACAGTACTGGAAAAATCCCAGTGGCTCTCTGGCATCCAGCCTTATAGCATGTTTTCCTCTCTTCTTTATTCTTTCTTTCTTTCTTTATCCTATTTTTTAATTAATTTTTTTCATTTATTTTACATATTGGCCAGTTTCCCCCACCCACTCCTCCTCTGTCTCCTTTCAGAAAGGGGCAGGCCTACCATGGGCATCTACGGAGCATGTATTTCGCCTATTTTTTTTTTAAAACAACTTTTGTTCTCTCGGCATTGGTTGGTTAACTAGTTAATATTCTGATGGTCACTGGTAGAGTATGAAATCAGTTAACCAAATTCCAGTATGAAATGGTATGTGTAAAGTGAGCTTTCTGAATGTGGTAATAAGTTAAAGCAGCGTCCATATTGCAGTATGCATGGGTGAACACACATCATGCCTGGGACAGCGGGGTGGGGGGTTGGGAGGGTGGGGAACTGTGGAGGTCAGCTGATCTGTCAGTCTTGTGCTGTGTGAGGAAGAGGACAAAAAAGGCAAATCAATGCCCTTCACCAGGAAACAGGTGATACAAACTAATGTTCTTTTGTTTGCATTGACAAGCGAGTGTGAAGTATGAGAGTAATGCACCTAGCGGTTATTTATTTTTATAGGTAGTTGCCTTTAGAGTGATCTAAAAATACTTTTTTTTTCCCTGCTGTGTAAAATGATCTGAACAACAGGAAAGAAAAACAATTCCAAAGTGTAACCCAAAACATAGACATAGCTCTGTGCTCATAGCAGGTATTTCCTGTTGCTGTCTAAACATTCAGAGGTGTGAGCCTGCCTTCTGTCCTGTGTTCTGTAGGGTTTTCCCTTTCTTCTGTGGACGAAGATGGTGTCCGGAGGCTCTATGTGAACAGTGTCAAGGAAACAGGCTTAGCATCCAAGAAAGGTAAGACTGTGGAGGCCGTGGCTCCATCCATCCATCCATCCATCCATCCATCCATCCATCTATCTATCCATCTTTCTATCTCTCTTGACTTTTTAATTTTTGAGGCAGGGCCTTGATATGTAGCTGAGGCTGGCTTGGAACTCATGGTGCAATTCAGGCTGGTCTTGAACTCATGATCTTCCTGCATCAGCCTCTCTACTGTTAGTTCTACAGACTTGCAAACCCCCACCTCTACCCCTGCCCCCACCCCCTAGCCCTTGTTTATCCCGTAGTTTCCCTCTGGGTTTTTTTCATTGGTTAACAAGAAGGACATTTTCAGAGGGTTTGTGTATAGAGAATAGGATGTCCTTGAAAACAATTCCAAGGAAGTGGGTTTACTTCACGCATTCGGGTGTGCAGGAAATGTCACCCTCCTAGCTTCTAGGTGAGACTCTGAGCCTGTATCTATGTCCCCTTTAATCTCCTGAAGAACTCTGGGCCATGAGGGAAGCAAAACTTTGGTTCTCACTGGTTGGAGGCATTGGCCGAGCCTGCAGCACTTCGTCACTTCCTGGAAAGTGTGCAGAGGTTGACTTAAGACCCAGCCTCCTCATCTCTGTGTTGGCACCCCTCCCCTGATATGTCCCGCCGGCTTCTTTTGGCCCTCCCGGAGCTTACCATGCATTTTGGCTGCCTTTGAGCCCTGTTCTCCATCCTGTTTGTAGTTTCGGAGTCCCTTCTCAACCTAGATTACAGGGGACCCTCTTCCATGGACTGTGCATCTCTGGGTTCTACCAACTACACATTGAAAATCTTTGGGGTGTGGTGCTAAAAAAGTTACCAACTACTGAACATATGCTTACCTTTGTCCTTGTCATCTTTCCCTAAGCAATATAATGTAGTTACCGCTTTCATAGCTTTTATGTTTGTTTAGGTATTATAGGAAATTTACAGATGATTCAAATATGACTACTCTATACCTGTGGATGTTGTCAAGAGCTTTCCTGGAATCCACCTGCTAAGGGTACCAAGAGAAGCCAGAACTTGTCCACTCCATTAAATAGAACCACTATAACATATTAAACTCTCCGGCTCAAACAGTTTTCTCAACTCACAATTCAAGAGTCTAGAATTCTGAAGCCAAGGTGTTGGCTGGATGGATTCCATTTGGAGCCTCAGGGAAGACTCTGTCAGTTGTCTCTTAGTTACAGCGGCTGTCAGCCATTCCCAGTGATCCTTGGTTTGTAACCCATGTTCCCCTTTTGCCTTGGGACTCTTCATGGCCATTGCTGTGTCCTTAGCCTTTTTGTGGCTGTCGCCTAAGAAAGAACAGAGGTCATTTTGGTTTAACACTCACCCTCAATTTCTGTGAGTTTTGTCTTAGTTAGGGGCTTATTTTGATTTAATTATGTCTGTAACATTATATATAGTTACACCAATTATTTTAATTATCTCCATAATAAGTATCTGAACATCTTTGCAAAGAAGGTTGCTTTCAGATGTAGGCAGACATGATTGTTTTTGTTTTGTTTTGAAAAGGGGGGACACTGTTCAGCTCATTATATTTATAAGAATCAGTGAGTTTAGGAATTTTGCTCTTGGTGTGGAATTTTGTGGGAACCCAGCACATCTGTGTCAGCTGTACTTAGACATGGCTACCCAAACCTCCTCTGTCAAGAACTCTGAATGGAGCAGTAGGAACAGAGGGGGACTGAATTTCCTACCTCCATCCCTGTAGCTGTGGGCCTAGTTCTGGGTGTTTCATAGCTTGTGAGTTCCCTGAGTGGGTTATTTCAACCTGTGCTGTAACCATGGGAGAATCTGAATCCAGTCTGTCTGCACAGGCGGAGAAGGTGGGACGTGAGGGAGGAATAGTCGGAATCACTTATGTTCTAGCCACTATGGCAAGAACCTCCTATGTGTGCCCTCTGTATCTTCTAGGCTGCGGGCCCAGTGGAGGGCAGAGTTTGCGGAGGCACTGAGCTGTGGCTCGGCTGTGAATAGATGGGTTCATTCCCCTCCAGACCTGCAGGCTGATCTTTATCACTTTCTGCAGGATGAGTGTGCTGTGGGTGTGGCCCCGGGGGTGGGGGATATTCTGGCTTTAGTCACATCCTGTTTTAAAGTTCTTTGAGTCTGAGAACCCTGATACTCTATAAAAACAAATGTCTCCCCAGCCTCCTTGTGCCATAGAGTAGTGTTCTCAGCAGAAGTAAGAGCAGTGTGTGTGTGTCTTTTGTGGCCACAAAGACCACCCTGACACTCCACACAGGCAGGCAGTGCCAGGAGGAGGCATGTGGGGTGTTAGGTCTAACAATGAATGAAAACATACATCCCACCACACCCTCTTCAGGGCTCACTGCAGTCCTCACACCCCACGTACGCACTGAGTACCAAACATCCCTCCCCTGGCTTCCCTCCACTCCTCCCGGTTAGTGTGATGCTGTCCTGCACCCAGGCTTTGAGATCTGTCATCTCAAATGTGAGACATTTTCTTTCCCAGATTTAGTGATTCCAAGTTCTTTGCTCTTTAGCATGTAGATTAGAACTCTGGCTGGCTTTTTGATCACAGCCTCGGTGCCCGAAAACCCTGTTAAAATGATCAGCATATGTTGCTGAGAAGAGAGGCCGAGGGAATGCTGCCTAAGTGGATCTGAGCACGCTGCTCTCTGGTTTTCACTTTCATTCCCTTCTGTTGGCCATGTTGGGCTTTTGGCTATTCCGCACTGCAGTTGGGCCCCATGTTGCCTCTCACACCCTATTGCTCATCACACACAGACTGCTCTTAGTTGGTTCACACAAACATGGACTCCCTTGCAGAAAGGACTTTTGTACCTCACTGTGTTCTTTGACCCTTCCTCTCTACTCATCATGGCCCTGTTTGTTTTGGACTATCACTCTCCCTTTGAGGTTACTGGAGAGCCGTTGTGTTGTCATCTAGTATCTTCATGATGGTCTCACAAGACATAACCTGGCTGAGGAGGACACAGGTCATCTTGCTCCAAACAGCTTGGATATGCTGGGCGTTGGTGGCGCACGCCTTTAATCCCAGCACTCGGGAGGCAGAGGCAGGCGGATCTCTGTGAGTTCGAGGCCACCCTGGTCTCCAGAGCGAGTGCCAGGTTAGGCTCCAAAGCTACACAGAGAAACCTGTCTTGAAAAACAAAAACAAACAAACAAACAAACAAAACCAAACAGCTTGGATATGGCATAGGTAGGTTTTTCATGGTCAGTTCTTATTTCCAGGGTCAGTTGGGGTACATAGCAACTTGAAGAGCCAATGTCTGTTGAATATCTTCAGCGATTGCACGGCTGGCTTCATTTCCTCTCATCACCACATTTCCCTCTTACATATGAGACTGGGTCTGGGAGTGACTCAGTAAGAACCGTCACAGAGCCTGTCCGTGACCGTCACAGAGCCTGTCCATGCCCAAACGGTGACAGAAAGACCCCAGTGCACAGCTTCACAGCACAGTGCTGCCAACACTTCCTCTCCACTCACTGCTCATTCTGAGGATAAGCCACCCTGTGTTGTCTTCCTGCTGTTGCCATAACAAACTACTGGAAGCTGGGTGGCTTACAGCAGCAGAAACTTATGTGTTTGCAGTTCCGGGGAAGCCAGGCAAGGTTTCCCTGGCCATGCTCGCCAGAGAACACTCTTTGGTATCATCCAGGCTCTATGGCCCCCCATGTTTGTGGGCTTGTGGCCATATCCCCCCCAGGCTCTGCGTCCATCTTCACTGGCTCCCAACTCTTCTTTGGGAATCTCTCTTCCTTGGGCCCAGTGAGGACATGTCAGTGGGCTTAGGGCCCACCAGACATGGCAAGGTCTTATGGTTACAACTGTACAGATCCTCTTTCAAGGTAGAATTGCACTCACAGACTTTAAGTGCAGGAACATAGGGACACTCAACTTGCCATTACTCTTATGCTGCCGGTCAGACTGGGCTGCATATGAGTTCCAGGACATACATACATACATGCTCCCACACACATGCACACACACAGGCATGAAAGCATAGATATGCACACACACACACAGGCGCACACACACGTACACACCAAAACTAAACACCAACACCTGGCTTTTCCTATATTGACATTTTATATTTTCTGTTTAAATATTATACTGCTCCAGATTTCTACCTAAAAATGAATTTTTGGGGCCTCAGCTGTTAAAAATCACTGGCTGCTCTCCCAGAGGTCCTGAGTTCAATTCCCAGCACCCACATGGCAGCTCACAACCTCTTTAATGTCCCATGGAATCTGATGCTTTCCTGGTGTGCAGATATACATGCAGACAAAACACACATAGAAATAAATAATAGATCTTAAATACAATGAGCTATTTTCTCAACAGAATTTTACCTTTTACGGTAAAACATTCACATTTCATTTCTATTCCCTCCCCATGTGGTGTGTGTGTGTGTGTGTGTGTGTGTGTGTGTGTGTGTGTTGTAAGTTTTGGAAATCTGAGTGAGGAGAGCCAGGGTTAACTCCAAATCTGGGAAGTGAGAACTGTCTAGAATGATTCTTGTGCAGAGTCAGAGCTGGGACCATGGCTACCTGGGGTGGGGTGACTTCTCCATTCTGCAATTCCTCTCTGCCTCCATTCACTTCCCATCTTGGGGAGATGCCCCCTCTTTCTAGGGAGACTCCCCCCCTTAGCAGTGTGTTCCCCCTCAGCCTCCTTCTTCTCAAGCAGCTACAATGTCTATAATAAAGATTTGAACTACCCCGTCTTAGTCACAGCTTCTGGTTTTCCCAGGTCGGGTTGTGCTCGACTGTCCCTTTGCGTCCCAAACATTGTCCCTTCCTGAGGTGTGCCCTGCAGAGGTTGCAGAGGCCTCCGAGGACCCTACCACAATGAAATGGAAGCTGTCCTTGCCTGGGTCCTGGTGTCATTCAAAGGTGGGAGCCGGGTGATAACAGCTGCATTTGTTTCTCTAAACTGTCCGCTCTGAGCGAATTTGGGAAAAAAACAAAAAGGAAACAACTTACTTATAGTGGTAGATGGAAGAAACTTCTGCATTTTAGTTGTGGAAATGATCAATAGATACAAGTGTGTACGAAACACTGTTGCCAACATTCCCGAGACAATAGATACAAGTGTGTACAAAACATTGTTGCCAGCATTCTGAGACAATTGATACAAGTGTGTACAACCACTGCAGCCAATTTTCTCAGAGACCAGCATCTTGGGGAGTTAACTGGAATCAGCATTTGTAAAAGGAAATGGGCAGATCCTTAGAACACGTGGAAGACGTAATAGTTGGTTCAAGTCAGCAGTTCTCAACCTGTGTGGGTTGTGACCCCTTGTGTGTTGTTGGGGGAACCTAAGACCATACGTACATTGCAAGTCATAACAGTAGTAAAATTACAGTTATGAAGCAGCAATGAAATAATGTTACGGTTGGGGGTCACCACAATGTGAGGAACTGTATTAAAGGGTCACAGTATTAGGATGGTTGAGAACCGCTGCTCTAGAACCTTCTCAAACCCATGTGTGTTTGCATCCTGCTCCCAGCAGACCTGTGGCTACGAGACTCATTACAGGAGAGCTCGGCATGCCCCTCCTGGCAGAACTTCTAAGTAGTTATGCTCTGATTTGTGTGACATTAAAACTTTCCCATCTTGCGTTGGCAGGCCTGAAGGCGGGGGATGAGATTCTTGAGATCAATAATCGTGCTGCTGGCACCCTGAATTCATCTGTGCTCAAAGATTTCCTCTCCCAGCCCTCCCTGGGCCTCCTGGTGAGGACCTACCCTGAGCTGGAGGGAGGACTGGAACTTCTGGAGGACCCACCCCACCGAGTGGACGGCCCTGTGGACCTCGGCGAGAGCCCCCTCGCCTTCCTCACCAGCAACCCAGGTATGCGGGGGCCTGGGACTGTGCGTCATCAGCCTGTGGCCCGGGAAGTGCACACACTCAGTGCACAGGGCTTGCTCCTGCAGGCATTGGAAGGTGTCAGGGACTGAGTGAAGCTGGCCCTGTGATTCCTGTTGACATTTTAAAGGGAAAGGGGGAGGTGCTGTTGTCATGGAGTATCTGCTTTGTGTTTCTTTTGCTCATTTTTCATCTGGGAGAGAGGTGAGTGGTGAGGCCACCATTTCAAGCTTGTGGATAGAGGTATGGGATCACAAGGCTCGAGGATGCGTGGTCCTCTTCTAGCCTTCTTTCTCCATCCCCAAAGTCTGCCCAGCCCTGTTCCTCTTCCCATGTGAGAGAAACTGGATGCTGTGTGAGGAAACTTGTCCAGCAGGTGTTTGCTTGCTTTGAATCATGTATGTGAACATGAATCGGGCTGTTGGAACCCCCCCCCGCAAGCCTGGCTCCATGACTTGGAAAATGTGGCTCTTTGGGCTCCAGCTATATTATGCTATTAGATCTGCTTCTTTTTGTTTGTTTTCTAAAGTTTTATACTGATAGGCTTTCACTTTGCAGCCCAGACTGGCTTGGAACTCCCTGAAGGGCTTTGGGTGGCCTTGAACCCAAGATTCCCCTGCTGCAGCTTTCCGAGTACTGGCATCACAGGAGAACACCTCTGTGATACTTTTCTTGCCTGTATCTTTCTCTCTTATGTTTGTTTTCTTGGATTGGTGTATTTTCTTCATCTTTACCTTCTAGCCCTTTGGACAGAGCCTCCCACACAGGTGATCCTTCCCTATTGAACTTGAGAGTGAAGGTGTGAACAAAGGAGCCGTGTCGATTGCTGTAGCTAGGTTTTTATGAACTGGTGCTAGGGGTTTGGGTTCACTGACTGGGCTTAATTTTGGAATTATTTTCGTCTTCATCTTGTGTTTTCAGGGGGAGAAGCAAGCTTGAGGCCTCATGGACTTGCATGGGGGAGGTGTTCTCTAGTTTCAGTGTTGTGTTGTAGGTACTTAGTTGTGTGTTGCTCCTTGCCATTGCTGTTAGATTACCGTCTGCAGCTTGACTGCCTAAGCAAGAAGCCTGTGGCCACTTATGGTTCTGTTCAGTGGCTCTTGGAAGAATTTGACAAGTAGAAGCTTCAAACATTGATTGTACTTACTGTTGACTTCTGGGACCACTATGTTATATTGGACGTCACACTTAAAAAGCTGCTTCAGTTAGCCCAGAATGCCAAGGAAAGTGGGATCAGGATCATGGAGGCTGTTCTCACAGATGGCCACAAGGTGGCGTTTGTGATCCTGCAAAACAACCCACAGCTTCTGTTCCGCAGGGAGACAGAATGAAACACATTAGGTGTGTGATGTTAGGCTGTTTCAGGATTTTGTGATCATGTACACGATTGCTGTGTGGCTGTGTTTGCATTAATCTGTGTCATTCCCATTGTTTATAGATACAAGTTCAGAATTTGCATGGTATAACCCACAAACTGAAACCTGATCACCCCACCCGAGTTTGGTTCTTTCCCCATTGCAATGGCAGATTGAGAGGGTTGTGATGGGAGTTCTGGTCCACTAAGCCAGAGATGTTTACTCTCCGGCCCCTAGAGATAAAGTCCTTGTGTAAAATGGACTCTTGCTCACAAATTGCTTCCTTATTTACTGTCACTGTTTGTTTCTTACTTAAAAGACCCTTGGAAGTATACACAGATTATTTCCATTAGTGTTTTTAAATAATTGTTCTGTATAGATTGCAGTGGTGCTGTCTTTAATACCGTGGAGTCCTAAACACAACACTGGCTTTCCTGTGGTGCCCCATAGTCAAGGCACCGCTGGGCTTACTCTTGTCTAAAACAGTAAAACCTCAACCTTGGAGTCTGGAAGGAGATTTATTCTTTCCTTTGTTTTTTTCCTAACTGAATGGCCGTGACTTGGAGCTCATGATCCCCACCTGGGTCTCTGCCTTCTGGGTGCTTCCGCTTCCTGGTCCTTATCTGACAGCAGAAGATGAAAGGGGACAGCAAGGAAACAGGATGGGCAGCCAGGCAAGCCTGCGCATAGCAAGGCAGAGATAACACAGACTCAGCGGACAACTGCCTTAGCACAGAGCAGTGGGACAATAATGGGTCGGCTCCACTCCAGCCTGGATCTAAATTTAGAAGTAACTAAACATAGGAGCCATCTGAGTGGCAAAGTCCGGGGTTTGGTGCTAGGGCACTTTTAAGGTGGTCGTACCGAGTATTTGGTGACCTGGATAGAGACCCAGGTGGGAAGTGTGAGCATTTCAGGGACTTTGAGGCCCACGTGATCCCTGGTACTGTCTGCCCAGCATGCAGACTTGAGCAGACCTCCCCCTGAGAGTCCAGATTGCAGGTATTGATTCTCTTTCAAACTTTGGTTATTTCTGAACCTCTTTCTCACATAGAGGCTTGTAAGTAGAAACATCATAGACCAGCGGTTAAAAATAGTCCCTGAAGCGGGTTCTTTGGGACTGCGTTCATTTTGATGTTAGCCCCTATGGGTCCCGATTCACCCACCACTCTGTGTCCTGTGTCCTCATTATGAAATGGAGACAAGAGCACACTGCCATACTGCTAGGTCAGTGTGATGGTTAAATAAGTCATAAAAACGTTCAGACCGGCAGTAGGGTACATCCTAAGCCAGTTTCTGTCACGGAGGACATGAGGATTGTCTCATCAATAGCAATCAGTTGTGTCTGCTCACTGTCCCCTCCTCCACTTCTGTCTGGAGCGGGTGGCTCGTCTGACACTCTGGTATATGAAGTAGACCCTGTGTCCCCTAGAAGGCAAAGATGAAGAAAATACACACCAAGAAAACAAACATAAGAGAGAAAGATACAGGCAAGAAAAGTATCACAGAGGTGTTCACCGTGCTTACAGTTTTCCAGGTGGAGAGAAGGACTTCTGTAGTACTGCAGTCCCTGGACCCCATTCACAGCCCTTGAGTCGCTCTAGTTCTTGTATGTTAATTCTGGTGGTTGTTTTAGGTGGCATTTTAGAGTCCCTGGGTGATTTCCACCTGTACCTAGAGTTGGAACTGCTTAGGCCACCACCAACACTTCCTGTGTGTAGACTTTGTCCTGGGAAAACCGGAATCCGAATGTTCTGGTGACATGCAGACTTTGTTCATGCCGTTCCAGGGTCTACTTCGTTGAGATTTTTATGTTGGCATTCTGTTAAGTGGCAGTGGAATGCTTTTCTTTTCCTCCTTGATGAAAGAAGGGGGCATAGTGTGTGGTTACCACATTGCCTTCAAAATCAAGGTCTGGGTAAGGACGGAATCCTCCACAGTCTAAGACCCCGTTCTAGTTCATGGCCATTTGCAGTCCACAAGTTCTGACTGGTTGTCCTGTTTTCCCCCTTTGTTTCCTAAGCACTTGTTTCCCTATGTACAAGGGAGGTAGCCAGGACTGAAAAACGGGTGGTTCCCTCAGTGACTGTTCTCTCGGCGGGCAGGCGGATCCTTGTTGGAAAGGGGAAGCTGCTGTGAGGACTTGAAAACTGAGTTTTCAAAAAGTTGCTATTAAGTTCTTACGGGATTTGTTTTGAATACTGATCCTAACATTTCGGACCGGGCAGTTCTTTGGTGTGAAGGGCTGTTCTATGCATCCATACTAGCTGTTGTAAGATAGTAGAGCCAGCTTACCCCAAACAAAAATGCCCTCAGAGATTGCTGCTGTCTGCCCCCAGTGGCATCTCCCTAGTTCAGAACCACCAGCCCAGTTTCTTAGATGGTTGCACACCTACCTCAGCCAGCTATGTGTGCATCTCAGTATGGGAAGGCAGATCTGAATGTTTTTAGAAGCTTCCCAAAGCATGTGCCCATCGTGTTTTAATGTGCTTGTCTGGCTTTTCCTTTTACTGCTGTTCCTACTAAGGAAAGAGAGGGAAGCTTGTTTTGAGTGTTGGCTTCTTAATGAGTAAAATTATTATGGTATAAGATATGAATGATGAGATTCACCAATGAAATGTAGGTATTTCTGATGCAATTATTGCAAAACCCCAGATTTTATGCAAAATGTAAGAATTGTCATTCTAGTAGCATCTGGGTGTCTTTTCTTGAGTTTGAAGTGTGTGTTTAGGGGCAGGTATTAGGATGAAAACCTGCCATTCCAGCACTTGGGTGACAGTCAGGGTTGCTGAGAGTGAGAGGGAATCTTGAGGACTACATAAGGAGACCCTCTTACACACACACACACACACACACACACACACACACAAATGTGCTTGTCTCTCTTGTAATTCCTTCCAGTGGCAATGCCTCTCTGATGCACTGTCCCACCCCTGGACTTCTACTTGACTGATTGAAGTGAAGCAGATGCCTTGTGTCATCTCAGAGAGGAGCCTGCACTTTTGTAGTAAAAACACTGGACTCTCTAGAGGGACTGGTGCCTCATCTTATTTGAAAAGTGGGTATTCTTGCATTTTGAGCTAGAGAAACCTGGGCCCTGGTGACTGACAGCTGGCCAGTGACACATTAGACGATCAGATCAGGCTCAGGCTGGAGAGTTGGAGACCTTTTGATCGGCCTCCAGCACATCTGTCTGCTGCTGAGAGGAAGCTGTGGGCTGCCCCGAGCGCAGATGCACCTCCTGCAGGAAGTCAATTCCCTGGCATCTGGTTCACAGGAAAGGGCCCCCGTGTTGCTGCTCACACTAAGGCTCCTCTGATCAGAGGAGGAATTGAGTTTGCAGCAGGCAAGGACAGCGCTGGATCTGCCTGGCCAGTAAGTGCTTTCTGTGCAGTGCACAAATGGAAGGCTCTGTTTTTTCCTGGGGGCTCAGCACTTAGGGGACAGGGAGGGGTGACATAAAAGAGCAAGTGAACAGCTTTGTCTTCCTGAAAACAAATCTGGTCCACTCTTGCGGATTCTCTGAAGCCTCCCAGATACCCGGTCACACACGGCCCTGTTTGTTTGTCGATAAGGTTCTCGGCCATGTGTGCCTTGTAAACTGTTGGCATGCCTTGCTCTCTGTCACTT